AGGAGCCAGGAGCTTCCTCCAGGTCTCCCACGCAGGTGCAGGGGCCCAAGGACTTGGGCCATCTTCCACTGCTTTCCCAGGCCATAGCAGAGAGCTGGATCAGAAGTGGAGCAGCCAGGACTCGAACCGGCTACCATATGGGATGCTGGCACTGCAGGAGGTGGCTTTACCTGCTACTCCACAGCGCTGGCCCAACCATTAAATACTCTTTCAGAATGATAAGAAGTTAGAGAATGTTGCCTTGAGAAATTGCTGAGAACAGCAAATTTTGCATCATTTTATGTTTGTCATCTCATTTTTACTATCAGTCAAGTGCTAAACTACCAAGTGAAAACAGTAGTGTATATGAAACAACCTCACTGGGGCCAGCACTGTGGCGCAGTGGGTAAAGCTGCCACCTGCAGTGTCGGCACCCCGTATGGGCGCTGGTTCAAGTTCTGGATGCTCTACTTCCAATACAGTTCTCTGCTATGGCCTGGGAAAGCAGTGGAGGTTGGCCCAAGTCCTTGGGCCTCTGCACCCATGTGGGAGACTAGGAGGAAGCTCCTGACTTCATGTCGGCCCAGCTCCAGCCATTGCAGCCATCTGGGAAGTGAAGCAGCAGATGGAAGACCTCTTCTCTCTGCCTCTGCCTCTCTGCAACTCTGCCTTTTGATTAAATAAGTAAATCTTAAAAAAAAAAAAAAAAAAAGAATCCACCTCACAAAACACTCTTCACTGAATACATATTTTTATCTATTCATCCATTCACTTATACAATCTCTAAAAGAGACATTTTTATTTCCTAAAATTGTTTTTTTCTTATAAGTATCTAGTGGATTCTTGTGTCTCAGTGTGAATTAGAACATGAACTACAGGGCCAGTGCTGTGGCATAGCGGGTAACACGCCACCTGCAGTGACAGTATCCAATATGGGTTCCAATTCTAGTCCCAGCTGTTCCACTTCCCATCCAGCTCTCTGCTATGCCCTGGGAAAGCAGTGGAAGATGGCCTAAGTTCTTGGGCTCTTGCACCCACGTGGGATACCCAGAAGAAGCTCCTGGCTCCTGGCTTCAGATCGGCGCAGCTCCAGCCATTTGGCCAACTGGAGAGTGAACCAGCAGATGGAAGACCTCTCCTTCTCCTTCTCCCTCTCCCTCTCTCTTCTCTCTAACTCTTTCAAATAAATAAAATAAACTTTAAAAAAAAAAAAAAACCATGAACTATCTGATCCATATACTAACCAAAAGATTCCACATGGGTAACTCAGGAAGAGTTTCACAGAACACTACATCAGAAGCCTGTTTCTGGAACTGACTGACCATGGTGACAGTCTGGAATGTGGTATTTGCTCTTTTTTGCCACACTGACATTTATTCCAAACAACTTTGCCTACCACAAACTGCTCTTTTTAGTTTCTTTTGTGTGTGCACAATATATGCACAAGCATGTGTGTGTACATTTATGTTAAGTCTAGGTTTGATCTCTCATTTTGATAAATCACATTACAGTCATTTTCTTCCAATGACTCAATGAGAATTTTCTGAATTTAAGTGTGTTAAATAAATTGATAAGTAATCTTCTAAACCATTATTTACTTTCAAATTGCTGTTAAGACTTGGAAATATTTCTCAAGCATTAATTCACTGAATTTCAATGTGCATATGTTACCTTGACTTAATGTGTATAGTGCAGAAGTACACAGAAAGAGGGACAAAACTTGGAAAAAATAACCCCAAGAGTTTCTTTCCATTAGTATCTATGCTCAGATGACTTGATTCCACTTTATTTGTGTAACACTGAAAGCTGTGATGAGGATATTAGCATACAAATTACTTCCTATTGACTTTCATTATAATTTAGACTAGGCATTTCTTCCAAATAAAAGGTCAACTGCCTAAGAAAAATACAAAGATGGAGAAGCCAGGAAGAGATGAGCTGAGCACACACAGTCCCTTTTCCCACAAGAAACCACCCAGTTAACTCATACTTCCTGCCTTTCACAGAAACTGAACAAACAAGAACAGTGCCTGAACACTCACTAAATACTCGGGTAACCCAGATTAGACCAGACTCCATAATAGGTAGTCATGACACATTTCACCATTAAAGGACACTCCAGGTGGAGATTTCGTTCAGTGGATGCACAAGTCCCTCCACTTGGGATGTAGCAGGTGACAGCCCAAGTACTTGGCTCCCTGCCACCCACATGGGAGACCTGAATTTCGTTCCATGCTCCAGGCTTCAGGCTGGCCCAGCCCTGGATATTGTGGGTATCTGGGAAGTGAACTAGCAAATGGAAGATCTGTCTCACTTCTTTTCAAATAAAATGAAAACAAACATTTTAAACATAAATAAAACTCAAAAGAAATAATCTGTTCTGTAAATAACAACAAAAAGAATACCCTGTGACCTAACCTGCACAATAACTGACAGGCATCAGACGGGTATCTGTAAAATCCGTGTGGGAGACCAGGAGAAGCACCTGGCTCCTGGCTTCGGATCAGCACGGTGCGCCGGCTGCAGCGCACCGGCCGCAGCAGCCATTGGGGGGTGAATCAAGGGAAAAGGAAGACCTTGCTCTCTGTCTCTCTCTCACTGTCCACTCTGCCTATCAAAAAAAAAAAAAAAAAAAAAATCCAGTGCTACAGCAAATAGGACCAACTCTTAGCACTTTGTACCTTGTGCTTGGCATTGGTTATTCTGGTTTCCTTCTACTTGAGGGCAACCCTGAGGAGAAATGCACGTACCTTCTCTCCCCTGCAGAGCTCCTGCTTGGGCCAAGAGCATTTCAACCTTTCTTTCCTTCCTGTCCTTGCTGTATTTTCTTTTCAAAGTGTTCTGCCTCAGATGCAAATGCTCTCTTCCGCAATGACTTGATATGTGGCCAGGGAGGCGAGGCCTACAACCACAGGATTTAGTTAAATGCAGAAGAGATGGTTTGCATTTAGGAAGTCTGTGTGGCCAGGAGTCTAAGCCATGATCTCTACTTCAACCTTATTAACAATAAAGGTAATATTTTTATTTTTTCCTTTTTTTTCTTAATTGACTTTGAAGTTAGTAGAGGGAAAAAAAGGGTGAATATTGCCCCTCAAGTCCCAAAATTATGTTTTTGTTGATGACTACAAAATATACTAGTCCAGGCCTCTTTACCTGCACATCATGTTCCTAAGGGATCTGTGGTCTTCTCATTACTGTGTACATAGGACACTTTCCTGTGTATTATGGGGTTATTCAAGGTAGTTTCAGGACATATTCCACTATAAGACAAGCTATGCAGGGTGGGATGTACTCACGACCTTACTCTAGTGTCTGAAACAATGGACACTGTTAAGTAATATTAAGTACTTAGTCCACAGTGCTTTCTTAAAACAGCCTCGTACCTCTTGAAACAAGAAAATGCTCATTAAACACCTCTACATTTAGTACTCCAGTCACCTCTACTATTTCATTGCACAATATGAATAACAATGTGAATATTTCATGCTACTGTCACTGGAATTTTGATTTTATCAATCTGTTTCAGTATGATGAACGGTCCATTTGAACCAACAATACTCAGTGTGTTGCTCAACATGCAGATTTGTAAGCCCTATTACAAAACCACTGACCAAGTGAGCAGACCCTGTGTAGGAGCCAAGGGAGTCTTTAACAGGAACCCTATCTGTACACCAAAATTCAAGATCCCATGGATTCAATTATTACTTATTTTTTTCTTATACACACGGTTTTCCACATACTAAATCTCCTACATAAAAGTTTGCAGGTGACTACTGTATATTCTATACAGTATACAGAGAACTGTATATTCTCCCAAAATGCCTCGTTCCTTTCCAGCTTTTAACTAGTTCTAGCTTTCCATCCCAAAGCTTTTACAGTTCTATCCATTCTTTAAGACATGTGGAAATGCAACGCCACCATGAAGTAAGTCTTCAATGACTGTCTGCCTCTTAAATGTCTTTGCACTTGGTCTAAATCAACTTAATTGTTCTCTAGGATGCCAAATAAAATTGTCAACCACAGAATATAAGCTCCTCCAAGACAGCAAGAGTTTCAACTGATCTATTTCAGTATGCCACTGTAAATGATATTAAATAAACACTATGTGGCTGGCGCTGTGGTTCACTTGGCTGGCGCTGGCACCCCAGGTTCTAGTCCCAGTTGGGGTACCGGATTCTGTCCTGGTTGCTCCTCTTCCAGTCCAGCTCTCTGCTGTGGCCTGGGAAGGCAGAGGAGGATGGCCCAAGTGCTTGGGCCCTGCACCTGCGTGGGAGACCAGGAGGAAGCACCTGGCTCCTGGCTTTGGGTCGGCGCAGGGCGCCGACCATAGCAGCCATTTATGGGGTGAACCAACGGAAGGAAGACCTTTCTTTCTCTCTCTCTCACTGTCTAACTCTGCCTGTCAGAATGAATGAATGAACAAATGAATGAATAAATACTATCACAAAACACAACAAACTACTCCCATTACATTAGTGAAAATACAAGATTTCACCAGGTGAAAGCATATGCGAACCAAGCATCTAAGATACTAGTACTTTCTAAAAGAAACACTTCAACAGTTATTTTGAAAACAGCAGGTGCTCTACATTTTCTGAGCAGATAATTCCACTGGCTGAAACAAAATATGAACCAGGTCACAGAACTAAATACTCTGGAAAAAGAGCAGTATTAGCCATCTAGATATGATATTATAAATCACTATAAGTTACTTTCTCCTATGTGTTTAGAAAAGAACTTTATATTAAGGTTGGAAAAATACTAACATTGAAGTACAAGGCACTCTTCATAATACATAGAAATGTTTACATTTCTACTTCTGCATGTTTTACCAATATTTAAAAACCTTACCACTAAACACAGCTTGAAGTTTTGTGGGGGTGGGGAGGGATACTGATATGAAACCATTACCTTCCGTATCGATTCTTCAGTGTGTCTGAAATCATTAGTAGCTCTGGAGATATTACTGATCATTATCCCCTTAGTTCTTTTAGACAGTATCAGAAATAGCAAGATGTGAATAATTTAATAGAATTGCATTTATTAAGTATATTTAAAGTTCATATCTTCCAAAAACAGTATTTTAATTACATTCAAATTATATTCATTTTAAATACTAACAAATCCATCATTTACATACAGGGCTAGATATCAGAAAACAGATGAAAATTAAAACAAGTTTTATATTTTAAAAGTCATTCCAAATTTAGAACATTGTGACTATATACCTAAAAAAAGGTACACATTATCAGGAAAACACAAGTTGGTTGCTCTAATAAGAAAAGTTCTGTAATATACATACAATAGAACATAATTCACATAGGCTCAATTTACAGGTATGGCTCAAAGTCCAAAACAAACAAACAAAACCTAATAACTACAAATACAGGCAAAAATCACAGTTGACATTCTAAACTAGTGCACCAATATACAGTGCTTTCCCAGAGAAAATAGAAGGGCTCTTGAGATTTTATGCTGACCCTGATTTTTCACTTCTTTGTTCTGAAATACAGAACCAGAGTTCTTTGTCTTTAAATGAGATTCGTGTTTTTTCCTTATAACAAGGACCCCATGTGTTATAAGAAGTGATAAGAAAAACTGTTCTATCTAGAGTTCAGTAATCAAGACATTTCTTTCATTTTTCCCCATACTTCTATTTTTCCTTCAAAAAGTCTCTAAAGAAACTTTATGAACAGTGGTGGTAAAAAGGTCAAGCCAAATTGTTCTGAGATGACAACATAATGTATGAGACTGTCCCTATCACAGGTTTACCAAAAAAAAATATGTCCCACTTATTAAACCACAAATAATAAAAAAATGAGAAAATCATACCTGAACATGTAAGTTGGAGAAAAGGAACTGAAGAAATGGAAGAAGGCATTTAGAATTATGGTGCTTGTGGGCTTTTGTTTCGAAGATACTCAGCAACCAAGCTACCAATAACTGCTGAACATTATTTTTAAACTATATGAACTTTAAATTTTTAATGTGTCTAAATCAAGTTTCTGTAGCCAAAACAAAAGTAGAGTCATCATGACTATTCATCTGAGACGTGCGAAGGTGGTTACCGCGAGGGAAGGTGGAGGGAGTACGGTATGTGCCAGCTGGAAGAGGTGGGACAAGAACACGGTGCAGGCAAGGGCAACTCTTTGCCTTTCTTCAGATTCTACTGCATTCACAATCCCAGGGAAGAATAACCCTCCTTTTTGTGTTAACGTGTATTAGGTTAAAATGGTAATGTGAATAGCCCTTAATCAATACATAGTATTTTTCAAAGTACTATTTTTAGAATTTGATTGGTTTTTTAAATACTAACTCTTGAGTTGACTCCTAAAATGGTGCTCAGATGTACTGATGTATTCACAACTTTCTGAAAAGTAAACAATTTACTTTGCATTAAAAAGTCATCAGTAAGAGTTATAATTCAGTGTTTAAGGAAATGAAATGTTGAACTTCAACGCTGTTGTATCAAATGACAACACTACTTTCTTCATAAACATACAATTAACAGGTATTACCTAATCATACTCTGTGATCATTAGAGAAATTTAAATAATCCTTTTCTCTTGTATATGAAGACGGTCGTTCTGAAGCAACACTCTAAACCAGAAAAGTCCATTCGTGACACAGAACCTTATCTCAGTTTTTGGAAGTCAGTGCATTCAATGGTTATAAATAGGTATAATGTTCTAGAAGGGTAAGAAAAGAAAAAGGGGGGGAAAAAGTAAAAAACCTGAAAGGATCCTAATGCCCACAAATAATGACAGCTTTCAGTGTCAAGCATGATACCTAACCTGATTGTCAGTCAGCTGTGGTTTTTTCTCCCAATGGAAGGCGTTCCCATAACTGGAGCAACTGTTCACCAACCTGAGGTTCCAGTTCCTGGATAAATCAAAAGTCAAAATAAACATAAAAAGAACTGTACTGAAATTTTTTCAAACATTAAAACCTATACTGATAAAAAGGTAAGAAAATCACTATGAATTTCATTTTTTCCAGCAAAACATGCTGAAATTATATGGAAAATATTGTTATAATTTATTGCTTTAAGGTGTATAGAGTTGAATGACTTAAAAAAAAATTCTTCTTCAAGTGAGAATGCCACATTTTAGTCCTCCCATAGTACTTTTTCCAAAGTGATTTGAAGTGGGCCACACTGGTCCAGATAAATCAGAAGCTGTGTGATGCTAGCTAAATTTATCTGAGTCTTTTTTATCCTGCATAAAACTGTTCAAATATTTCATTTTATTCATAAGGATTAAATTATATTTTATAAAACAGCTAGTATAGTACTTTGTCAATATGTAAATTGATACCACCTTAACTAGTTTTGTTTTTTTTTTTTTTTTTTTAATTTGACAGAGTTAGTGAGAAACAGAGACAGAGAGAAAAGTCTTCCTTCCATTGGTTCACCCCCCAAATGGCCGCTATGGCCGGCACTATACCAATCTGAAGCCAGGAGCCAGGTGCTTCCTCCTGGTCTCCCACACGGGTGCAGGTGCCCAAGCACTTGGGCCATCCTTCACTACCTTCCTGGGCCACAGCAGAGAGCTGGACTGGAAAAAGAGCAGCCGAGACTAGAACCCGGCGCCCATATGAGATGCCGGCGCCGCGGGCAGAGGATTTAGCCAAGTGAGCCACGGCACCAGCCCTCTTTTTTATTTTTTATTTGAAAGACAGAGTTAGACAGTGAAAAAGAGAGACAGAGAGAAAAGTCTTCCTTCCATTGGTTCACCCCCCGAAATGGCCGCTACAGCAATCCAAAGCCAGGAGCCAGGTGCTTCTTCCTGGTCTCCCACACGGGTGCAGGGACCCAAGCACCTGGGCCATCCTCCACTGCACTCCCAGGCCACAGCAGAGAAATGGACTGGAAGAGGAGCGACTGGGACAGAATCCGGCACCCATATGGGATGCCAGCGCCGCAGGCGGAGGATTAACCAAGTGAGCCACGGCACCGGCCCCCCTTAACTAGTTTAAAATGTATATAAGTTAACACTATGAAAGGAAGGCAAAAACATAATAGAAATAAAACAAGACACTAGATTATAAGAAGGTTGTCACTGACAGTAACTAGAGCTGCAAGGAAGTTAAACACTGTTGTCATCTTAAGACTTTACCAAATTACCTCAGAAATGCACTCAGTTCTGAGCAGATATTTAGTCAGACAACAGAAGCTTCCATGAGGGATTTAGAAAGATTTATATAAACAATACCAGAGAGACGCCAACTCTACAAAATGTTAAGTAAGCAATGAGCTGTATGACACATTTGCAAGTGGGTTTTTCTAGCTCTTCCACAAACTGCAACCACTGTTTCTCAAGTGTGGAATGAACACAATTTGTGTGCTTACATTTCCTCCTCTAAGCACTACACAACGGCAAAACTAAACCAAACCAAAAGTAAAAGGAAGACTTTAATGCTATTGTATACCTGCCCATCTCTGCTTATCTGGACTTTCTTGTTGTCATTCCAAGGATTGAGTAAATGGTGTGCAAACTGAAAGGGAAGGCTTTCCTTTCGTATCCACTCCACCTTAAACACTCCTCCTAGTCCAGCTGAGCCCCAGTCCTGGCTCTTCTCCCTTCCTATCTCTGAAGACATCCTAGAGAATCCCTGTGGGAATAATGAGAAGAAAGGGAGGAGGCAAAAATGTTATTAAATTCACCTACAGCTAAGTTTTTCAAAAGTTTAAGGTAACAATGCAGTATGAAAGTAATGGATACTTAACAAAAATGTACAATAAAGTATTTATTAAAATTTTCATTAAGAGCTATTAACAAATTTGAGAGGAAAGACCAAGTCTAGCTTTGTAACATGATTTCAAATATCAACATAGTTCAAAATAATTTAAGTCCACATTTATTATACAAGAAATGGATACCATCAAATCTTTAAGCCTTTATCCTCAAATATTATAATATCAAATAAATAACTGTTTTGTAAATTCAGATATATATTAAGTCAAGCTACATTAAAAAGAGCACAGTATCGTGGCACAGCAGGTAAACCCACTGCCTGTGACACCGGCATCCCACATACATGCTGGTCCCTACCACCCACATGGGAGATCTGCATGAAGCTCCTGGCTCTGGGTTTTGGTCTGGCCCAGCACTGGCTGTTGCAGCCATCTGGAAAATAAGCCATTGGATGGAAGATCTCTCTACCTCTTTCCCTCTAATTCTGGCTTCCAAAATAAATATTTTCAAAAAATGTGTTTTTTAAAAAAAAACATGCTTAGTTTCTTGATTGGCAATACTAACTTTCTTGGGCCTATTTAAATAAATATTTTATCAAAAGATCAAGCTTCTCATTACTTTTAATTCACCTGAGAATTAGTAATTCTAAAACTGTCTTCAGAAGGAAAAACTGCTTATATAGAAAGGTTCTCCTTAAGACAGGAGAAAAACAAAGGGACCCTAGTTCTTTGATTCCCTTGAAGAGACAAGACATCCCTTATTCTCAATCAAGTGAAAGGGACTCTCGCATTCCAAAGCAATGGAAAGCCAGCTTTGCTCACCTGGCTTTTGTCTCCATGGTCTAACCTCCAGCCAGAACAACCCCACTCCATCATCTGAGGATGGCCTACCTGGAAATGTCCAGACCCCTGAACAGAAAACACCAAGTAAACCATGCTGCTTTCCCAAAAGGCTCGATTCAGCTTCCGCTCATTACTAGGGGTCGTAGACCAGATGCCCTTCTGCTGAGAAATTTCAAGGTTTCTCAAATTACTGCTCTTCATTATGAAGTATCGAACAGGCATGTTTGGTCTTGGAGAAGGAGATTTTGAGCCCTAAAAAAGAATGCATACATACCTAAAATGTAGTTTAATCTTTCAAAACCAATAGCATCCGTATCTTCATAAAACACATAAAGTGAAATAATTTACCAAATATCCAACAAATGCAAATAGCTCTAAAATGCCTGGAAACTTATACCTGTATAAGGCTCAATCAAACGTAAGCTAAAGAGGAAAAATTAAGTACTCATTTTCAAAGCATTCAAAAATGCTTTTTCAAGAAAGGATCTTGAATTATCAACTTTGATTAATTCTCCAAATCTATTTTCAGAATATATTTCATAAATTTTCAAAATCTGAAAACAAAACAAAAAATAGTGTCCATGTGACAAAGTAAAACACAGAGCCAGGCAGTCTGAGATGTAAAGACAGAGACAGGGGTTTAGAAACCAACACAGCTAGAATCTGTCTGGCAGCACACTACACAGACCCACTCTAACAATGCTTATAAGCAAGCCTCTTAAGTACTGCCACTAAATTGTGTATCAGAACCAAGTCCAACACTATTTAAAGGAATACAACAAAAATTTAACAGCAACACAAAATTATAAGAAATGCAAAGAAATAGGAGAACATGACCCACAACCAGAGGGAAAAAGTAATCAACAGAAACAGACTCAGTAAAGGCATGTTTAGGAGACAAGAAATGTTAAAACAGTTATTTGTCTACTTCGTTCAGGACATGAAAGAACTTTGTTTAAGAATAAACATAATGAGAAGAGAAATGGAAGACATATATTTAAAAGACCAATGGGAACTTCTAGAGACAAAAATATACTATCTGAATACACATTAGAGAGAATGAACAGAAGATTAGACACTAAAAACATCAGTAATAGAAAGGCACAGCCACAGGAACTATCTAAAACAAAGACAGAAAAAAGGCTGAAAGCAATGAAGAGAACATCACTGATTTATGGACAACATCAGGCTGCGCTTACATTATGGTATCCACAGTCCCAGAAAGGAGAGAGGAGAGACATTAAAAATAAGGGAATAAACACTAGCTTTCAGTTTTCTAAAACTGATGGAAATTACCAATATGCAGGTTGAACAAGAAATATAAAGAGAACTAGATCAAGTCTCATCAATATCAAATTACTGGGCTGGCGCTGTGGCATAACGGGTAAAGCTGCTGCCTCCAGTGCCAGCATCCCATGTGGGCACCAGTTCGAGTCTCGGCTGCTCCACTTCTGATCCAGCTCCCTGCTAACACACCTGAGAAAGCAGCAGAAGACGGCCCAAGTATCTGGGCCCCTGTCACCCATGTGGAAGACCTGGATGAATCCTCTGGCTCCCAGGAGCCATCTGCGGAGAAAGCTAGTAGATGGAAGATTTCTCTTTCGGTAATTCTCCCTTGTAAATAAATAAATAATCTTTAAAAAATAACAACAAATGGGCCTACACTATGGTGTAGTGGGTAAAGCTGCCACCTCCAGTGCCAGCATCGCATATGGGCATCAGTTCAAGTCCCGGCTGCTCCACTTCCAATCCAGCTCTCTGCTGTGGCCTGGGAAAGCAGCAGAAGACGGCCCAAGTGCTTGGGCCCCTGCACCCACGTGGGAGACCTGGAAGAAGCTCCTGGGTTCTGGCTTCGGATCTGCGCAGCTCCGGCCGTTGCAGCTTCTGGGGAGTGAACCAGTGAATGGAAGACCTCTCTCTCTCTCTCTGCCTCTCTTTCTCTCTGTGTGTATCTCTTTCAAACAAAGAAATCTTAAAAAAAAAAAAAAAACTATGCAATTCAGGAAAAAAAAAGGAATGGCTTCTTCACTTTAATGAAAGAAAACCACCATCAATCTAGAATTCTATATACAGCAAAAATACCTTCCAAAAATAAGAATGAATGGACTTTTTAGAGAAAAGCTTGAAGAACTCACTAGAAGAAATATTAAAAGAAAGTCTTTCAGGGGCCGGTGCTGTGGCGTAGTGGGTAAAGCCACTGCCTGCAGTGCCGGCATCCCATATGGGGACTGGTTTGAGTCCTGGCTGCTCCACTTCTGATCCAGCTCTCTGCTATGGCCTGGTAAAGCAGAAGATGGCCCAAGTCCTGGGCCCCAGAAGAAGCTCCTGGCTCCTGGCTTTGGATGGGCACAGCCCCAGTCACTGTGGCCACGTGGGGAGTGAACCAGCAGATGGAAGACCCCCCTCTCTCTCTCTCTTCTCTCTCTCTCTCTCTGCCTCTGCCTCTCTGTCTTTCAAATAAATAAATCTTAAAAAAAAAAAAAAGGTCTCCAGACAGAAGTAAATGATACAGATGAAAATACTTATCAATACAAAAGAATAGAGTACAAGATTGATAAACATGTGAGTAACTATAAGACATTTTTATGACTTCTAAAGCTTAGTAAAAGATAATTTACTAAAATAAAAATAATACATTTTAGATTTATATATGGTAATAAAAGGTAAAAGAACAACACAAGGGATCAAGTGTTAAAGGAACAACCTCTGAAGGTTCTCCAGCTGTACAGGAAGTATAATACTGATAAAAGATACACTAGGGTAAATCAAAACGGCTTCACGAGTAAATTCTATGAAAGACATAAGGAAGACATACTACCAATTCTACACACCTCTTCTGAAATACTGAAGTGGAAGGAACACTTCCAAACTAACACGAGGCCAGCACTACCCTAAAATGATAACCACACAAAGGTAACAGAAGAAGGAGAGCACAGTGATGTCCCTCCTGAACAGATGAGACGGTGTAGCTATTCACACAGAGTATCCTGAGACACGTACGTGAGGAGCCGACAGAACACCCAAGTAAGGTCACGGCACAGGGGCACAGGGCAAACAGAAACCAAAGCTATTTCCATATACTAGAACTGAACATTTGGAAGCTGAAATTCTAAAAAGCATCAAAAATATGAAATACTTAGGGATAAATTTAACAAAAAGTAACACTTGCACACTGAGATCTGCAATAATTTTTATTGAGAAAAATTATAGAATACTTAAATATTTACCTGTGTACTAGAATACTAAAATTGTTAATCATCAATCTTCTTTAACCTGATCTATAGATTCAGTGCAATCCCATTCAAAAATACTAAAAAAATTTTTTCTATAGATTTTGACAAGTTGACTTTAAAGTTTCTACCAAAGTATTAAGGACCTAAGAATAGCCAAAATAACTTTCAAAAAGATGACTGAAGTTAGAGAACAAACATTAACTAATTTCTAGAGTTAATACAAAGTTATACAATCAAGTCAGTATCATTGGCAAAAGGAGAAATACATATATCAATTAAACTTAGTAGAATCCAAGAAACTGACCACAAATTTATGGTGAGCTGTTTTTTTTCTTTCTAGATTTTATTTATTTATTTGAGAAGTAGAGTTACACACAGAGAGAGGGAGAGACAGACAGAAACGTCTTCCATCCACTGGTTCACCCTTCAAATGGCCGCAATGGCCAGAGCTGAGCCCATCCAGAGCTAGAAGCGTCTTCCAGGTCTTCCACGAGGGTGCAAGGGCCCTAGGACTTGGGCCATCTTCCACTGTTTTCCCAGGCCATAGCAAGGAGCTGGATTGGAAGATCAGTAGCCGGGACATGAACCAGCGCACATGTGGGATGCCAACACCATAGGCAGAGGTTTAGCTCACTACACCACAGCGCTAGTCTCAGTGAGTTAGTTTTTGACAAAGGTGCCACAAGTAAAAAATGGAAAAAAATGTCATCTTTTCAATAATCATGTAGGCAAAAGCAAAAAATATGACCCTTGAGTCACTCACACAATAAAAAAATTAACTTAAAGAAAATCTTTGTGATTAGTAGGCTAGGTAAAAATTTCCTAGGACACAAAAAACGTGAACCATATAAAAAAATTAAAGAAAGAGACTGTATCAAAATTAAAAGCATTTGCTCTTCAAAAGACACTATTTAAGAAAATGAAAGTCAGTCATAGACTGTTAGAAAAAAAATCTCCAAAACCGATATGATTAAGACTTGTACCCAGAATATTTAGAAAATTCTTGTAACTTCAAAAGGCAAAAAAAAGTGACAAAAAAGTGAACAAAAATTTAGACACATATTTCACTAAAGACTATACACAGAGCAGCAAATAAGATACTCAACATTATAAATAAACAGGGAAACACAAATTAAAATTACAATGAGTTATCACTACAAGGGTACTTTAAAATGTTCATGGAAAACGAAATTAAAAGGGAAGTTTATTTTGGTGCAAAAATTTCTGAAACCACGCATACTGACATCTTCAAAAAGTTCTTGAAAAATTTGTAGTATGTCAAAACTATGCAGGAATTTCAAACAATTTTTACATCAAAACAAGCTAATCTTTTAATTCCATTTTTCTGTAAGCATTTTGAAGTCCCCTCATATATACCCACTAAAACGGCTAAAATTACTAAGTCTAATAATGCAAAGCATCACCAACAATATGGAACAAATAGAATTCTTAAGGATTATTGAAGGGAATGAAAAGCAGTACAGCCATTTTTGGAAACAGTGGTGTAGTTTCACATAAATTTACACATACATTTATTTTATAAACCAACAATTCTACTTCTAGGTATTTGCTCAAGGATAGAAAACATATTTAATGCAAAGACTTGTGCTTGATTCAGCACTGCAACATTCTAACAGCTTTATTCGTAATAGCCAAAAAAGTAGAAATAATCCAAATGTCCATCATGTGGTGAAAGAACAAACAGTGGTATATCCATGAAAGGGAAAAAAGCAATTAATAATAAATTCTATGGCATAGTGAGTAAAGCCACCGCCTGCAGTGCTGGCTTTCCATGTGGGCACCAGTTCAAGTCCTGGCTGCTCCACTTCCAATCCAGCTCTCTTCTGTGGCCTGGGAAAGCAGCAGAAGATGGCCCAAGTCCTTGGGCTCCTGCACCCACATTGGAGACCAGAGGGAAGCTCCTGGCTCCTGGCTTCGGATTGGCCAAGCTCTGCCATTGCAGCCATTTGGGGAGTGAACCAGTGGATGAAAGATCTCTCTCTCGTTCTCTCTCTCTCTCTCTCTTTCTCTCTGCCTCTCAAATAAATAAATCTTTTAAGAAGTTCATTAACAGTAACCTTTTTAAAAAATAATGAATTCCACAATACAGATAAATTTCAATAGGATTATTTTAAGTGAAATAAGCCAGACACAAAAAAGCTACAAGCACATGATTCCATTTACAACAAATTCAAAAACTCCAAGAACAGAAAGCAGATCAGTGATTAAAAGGGACTAGGTATGAAGGAAATAGTCTGTACAAAACTGTGGTACAGTTACATTGTTGTATACATTTGTCAAAATTCACTAAATGAAGGTGGAGGGGTGGGGTTCGGTCTAACAATTAAGAATCCCAACTAAGACACCTACATCCCCTACTGAAATGTCTGGGCTCAAGTCCAGGCTCCACTTCCAATTCCAGCTTCCTGCTAATGTGCACCCCGTGAGGCCACAGGTAACGGCTCAAGTTCTTGGGTCCCTGCCACCCACACAGGGCACCCAGATGGAGTTCCTGTCCCCTGGTTTCATCCTGGCCCAGCCCTGGCTACTGAAGGCATTTGAGAAGTGAACCAGCAGATGGAAGATCTCTCTCTTTGTCTTTGTGTGTATCTCTCTCTGCCTTCCAAATAAATAAATATTTTTTAATCACCAAACTGTACACTTTAAACTGGTAAAATCTATTATGTGTAATATGATAATAAAAGTACCTAAAGATAAAACAAAAAACCTCTAAACCCAAGAATGCATATCCACAAAAATATTTCTTTTCATCTTAGGCCTAGTGTTTTGGCAGGCATTTTCACCAAAACACATTATGTAGCTAAATAACTCCTTACCAAATACTCAGATATTAACTGCAAAAAACTATATGTAAACATATTCTGAATTTATACAATCATCCATATCACAAACTTTTAAGTTTTTAATTTCACATCAACATTTCTTACTTTCTTGACCCCATATGCCTTGGTATTACAATGTAACTACTGAATTGAGAAATCAATTAATAGTGCAAAGAAACTACTGTTTCCAATTCTGAAATTTTAAACCAAAATTATTTTTAAATTTTTTTAAACCAAGAAAGTTCTAAAGAAATAATAAAGCACCAAGCTACACCCCATTAGTGAACGATGCGTTAGTTTTAAAACACCCAAAAGTGGGGGCCAGCGTTGTGGCACAGAGGATGAGCCACCACTTGTGATGATGGCATCCCATATCAGAGCACTTGCTCAAATCCCAGCTGCTCTGCTTCTGATGTAGCTCCCTGCTAATGGCCTGGGCAAAGCAGGGAAAGATGACCCAAAGGTGTGGGCCCCTACCACCAGATTAAGTTCCTGGCTTCTGGCTTCGGCCTGGACCAGCTCCAGCTGTGGCAACTTGGGGAGTGAATCAGCAGATAGAAGATCTCTCTGTCTCTCTTTCTCTCTCACTCTGCCTTTTAAGTAAATAAATAGGCCGGCGCCGCGGCACCACATCCCATATGGGTGCTGAGTTCTAGTCCCAGTTGGGGCGCCAGATTCTGTCCCGGTTGCTCCTCTTCCAGTCCAGCTCTCTGCTGTGGCCCAGGAAGGCAGTGGAGGATGGCTCAAGTGCTTGGGCCCGCATGGGAGACTGGGGGGCCACCTGGTTCCTGGCTTCGGATCAGTGCAGTGCACCAGCCGTGGTGGCCATTGGGGGGTGAACCAATGGAAAAGGAAGACCTTTCTCTCTCTCTCTCTCTCTCTCACTGTCTAACTCTGTCCAAAAAATAAAGAAATAAATAAATCTCCAAAAAAATAAAAATAAAGCACTTGAAAGTGGTAATAACTAGAAATACCTGGTAAACAAGAAAAATTTAAAAATTTACTCTAAGTCTCGCAAGTTTACCAGCTTTAACCTATATATACAACAGAGGCCACAATTAGAAAAGTAGAACTGTCTTATTATTTTTGCTTAAATGTGTAAGATTAGATGTGTTGCAAATCGTTCATTACCATGTCTGCTTTCATATACTTTACCTTTCCTGAGGACGGAGGAGAAGGACTAGCGCAAGGACTAGGGTAACTACTGCTGTCTGTGGATTTCACAGAAGACTGATCCGATCGGTCATCAGTGCTTCGTTTGGGATGCAAAATTCCTCTATCCTTGTACTTCGGAGGTGGGTGTAATGCTGGAGACGGAGACTTCATCAATACTCTTGAGCAAGAAGGAGGAAGCAAAGATTAATTACATGTATTTGTTAAACAAAGCAGATGCTATTTCAATCTAAAGTCCCAGACATTACTATTTATAGAATAATATTTAAATAGGGAAGTTCATTATTCTGTTACCTATGAAGGCAAGAAACAGCTGGTCTATAAGGGTACTCTTAAAAAACAGCAGGCAAAAATACATTTTAAAAAATCCACAAAAATCTGCGGCAGGCATTTGGAGCAGCAGTGAAAATGCTGCTTGGGATTCCCACATCCTGTACTGGAATGCATGGCTCAAGTCCCAGCTACTCTGCTTCTGTCCCAGCTTCTTGCTAATGTGTACCTTGGAAGGCAGCAGATGATGGTTCAAGTACCTGGGACCCTGCAACCCATGTGGGAAACCTGAATTGAGTTCCTGGTTCCTAGCTTTGGTCTGGCCTACCTCTAGCTGTTGTCTAGCCATTTGGGGAGAGACCCAACAGAAGGAAAATCTCTGTGTTTCAAAAATAAAATGAAAACTAATTTTTAAAATAATTCACAAAAATCAGAAAGGCTATGAACTTCAGGTAATATAGATTTTCAAAGCATATTCAAAATTTCGGTGTGGTAAAGTGGAAAGAATACTGAAACAGAATCAAGAAATACGAGATTTCCAGAACATCAGCGGTAAATTCACAACTGATCCTGAACAACTCTCTTCCCTTATCTCAGCTTTGATGTCCCTATCTATTACATGAAACAATTGTACCAAAAACTACGATTCTTCTGTTTCTTAGATTCTCAGAACAAATGTCACAAACATGGCAATCAAAAACTTTATAATTCTTAAAAATGTATGTGTGTTTGTAATATATAACAAGACGTTGACAAGTTAGTTCCTGGTATGTGGCAGTGTTAGGTTCAAAACACCACCTATAAAATACTCTTGTCAAGAACACTAAATCTAATCAAATTTTGCAGCCAACTACCAGATTACATACAATACATGGAGCAGAGTAGTAAATGCCAACCGCTTCTCGGCCTTTTGGCTACGATCAAGTGTAGGCGGAAATGACAGGCAGAAACAGACAAATCCAGAATGCAGAGACCTCTCAGTACTACCGACCCTGCTTCTTCAAAGATCAGGAGAGGAGCTACTTGAGATCACAGTACACTGCAGGAGTCTTCCTGCATTCAAACAAACAACATTTAGCACAACTCGGAAAATGACTATTTTATAGGGGTTAGTAACTGCACTGTGGTTTTGTAGGGAAAAAAATGTAACTGCTTTTAAGAGATGCACATTTGAACATGAAATGGCAAAATGACCAGATATGGGGATTTACTTTGAACTCTATAAACAAAAACAAAAAGGAAGAAAGAAAAAAGTACTCTGGAGTGGATAATCAAGTAGCTGAAAATTCTGGTAAATGATGAATCTGGTCTACGGTGTCCACTGTCATACATTTACTTTTTAGCATTTCACAATATTTATAATAATTTTAAAACAAAAAAAGATGCCTTCAATAATTTATAAGCTTCCATAGTCTTGCAATTATAATTACTCTATCTTCAAGACCAATGAAAGTAGCTTATCCCAAAAATTTGCTTCTCTTAAAATAAATTCAAAATTTTTTCACAAATGAAATAAAAACTAAAACAAAGCTATTAATATTAAAATGTATACTGAATGCACATTTAAATCATTAATAAAAAATTGGCAAGAAGTGTGAAGACAACTTTTCAGGGTTTTTTAAAAATTCTATTTATGTTGATTTTATTTGAAAGGCAGAGACAAAGATCTTCCACCTGCTATTTCAGCCCCCAAATACTGGCAACAGCCAGGGCTTTGCCAGGCCAAAACCAGGAGCTCAAAACTCCATCTGGGTCTCTCACATGGGTAGCAGGGACTCAAGTACTTGAGTCATCACCTACTTCTGCCTCCCAGAATGTGCATTAGCGGGAAGCTGAATCAGAAGCACAGTAGCTGGGACTCAGACCAGGCATCAGCTATGGGATGTGGGTACCCCAACAGGCAAATTAAACCACTGTGCCAAACGACTGCCCTTCAGGAATTGTTTTGCCAATGAACTGAGATTCAGTGAGTTACCTGATCACAACCGCTAAATCCCATCATTCTCGTACTCAAACCTAACTGACCTGAAAATCAGGTGACAGCCTGAATGGGAGTAAAATTTTACTAAAATTAAAATGATGTTGTTAACAGAACTAAATGTCTAGTATTGTGGTTTTCAAATTTGTCTTCTGCTCTGAGATATAGTCTAGTTTTTCTCTCTCATGTAGGGCCATCCACCAAAATTTCACTTATAAAGAAATAAGGTTTTCCTCAATTCTTCTACCTAAATTTTCACTTCAAAAGAACAAAGAGTTCTAATATAGATAAAATGGCAAATTTACCTTAATTTCAAGTAGAAAAGGTAAGCTTGTCCCCTGCTATCCCACTACTATTTAGAAAATAATATTTAAATAAACTGGTTTAACTTTAGGATAGAACATGACAGTGAGAGAGAGAGAGAGAGAGAGAGAGAGAGAGAGAGAGAGAAAAGTCTTCCTTCCGTTGGTTCACTCCCCAAGTGGCCGCAATGGCCAGAGCTGCGCCAATCCGAAGCCAGGAGCCAGGTGCTTCCTCCTGGTCTCCCATGCGGGTGCAGGGCCCAAGGACTTGGGCCATCTCCCACTGCACTCCCGGGCCACAGCAGAGAGCTAGACTGGAAGAGGAGCAACCGGGACTAGAACCAGGGTGCCTGAGCAGCAGGCAGAGGATTAGCTAAGTGAGCCACGGCGCCAGCCTAAAGTTTTTCTTAGAAGAAATTGTCATCTAAATCTGCACGTTACCATCCCAGGGTGAAAACTCTAAATATCTTTTCCCAAGAAGTAATCCTACAAAGATTGTAATTTTTTCCTTTAAAAATAAATTCTCCCAAGAGTCCTCACTGTATTTCTTATCAGAATCAACCTACCTGAACTCTACGGCTCATCTATCATTAACACAAAAGACTCGAAGCCGATGAAACCTTATCTTTAATTGTAAAATACTATAAACAATAGAATGTAGTTACACTGTAATAGTAATATGGTCATGTGGCAGTAAATATGTTTACGTGGTTACAACATGACTCCCTTCAATAAAATGTAAATTACTAGGCTAATCCTCCACCTAGCGGCGCCGGCACACCAGGTTCTAGTCCTGGTCGGGGCGCCGGATTCTGTCCCGGTTGCCCCTCTTCCAGGCCAGCTCTCTGCTGTGGCCAGGGAGTGCAGTGGAGGATGGCCCAAGTGCTTGGGCCCTGCACCCCATGGGAGACCAGGAGAAGCACCTGGCTCCTGCCATCGGAGCAGCGCGATGCGCCGGCCGCAGCACGCCAGCCGTGGCGGCCATTGGAGGGTGAACCAACGGCAAAGGAAGACCTTTCTCTCTGTCTCTCTCTCTCTCACTATCCACTCTGCCTGTCAAAAAAAAAAAAATCACTTAAGATATATGAACTAAAATATACAATTTTAAAATGTTGCCATTTTTCTTAAAGAGTCTAAAATTGTGAATTCTGGAAATAAAGCATTTTGCATTCTTCCTGACAAACCACCACCACCGTATTAAATAAAATAATTCACAGATACCAGTAGCTCAAAATATGTCATATCACCTTAATACATGTAAGAATTACATCTTACAAGTAAAAAACACTTGTGTTGTTGTAACCTTTTTATGTATCTTAGATTGTAAGAAAGTAATTTTTAAATACCATAAAAGCACATGATTCTATGATACATAATTTTCCTGGAGAAAATATCTCCTATTTTGATAAAATATTATAAATTTACCTTTCTGCAGCAGTCGATTCATCAGAAAATTCAGTATCTGCTGTACTTTTCCTACTATTATTTGACCTCCAAGATGATGCCAAGGGGAGTTCTTCTGAAGACATGGGTCTGGGCCTTTGGCCAATCCCAGAGGGCTGCTGCAAACCTGCAGACTGCTCTTCAGTGCTCAAAACAGCTATGATCGCTCTTATCGTGGCTTCATCAACTTGGGACCAAGGTTTAGATGGAGCTCTCATTCGGCGTAAAAATAAGCTATGCCACTTTTGCCTGAGCTGCAGCAATAAACTGGCTGCCTGTAATAAAACACTTTCCTCAGTTCAAAAAGACACAAGCAAAATTTGTATCACAAACAAATGACACCTGTTTGTTAGTGAAGGTCTACAACTATTTCCAAAGAATTTAAGTCATGTTTCCTATAATTCCTTCTACTACATAAATTAAATAAGATTTCTCATTTGCCATATAATAGGCACCAGAAACACAAAATCAACAGTCTAATAAGAGACAGTAAACAACAGCTGTCATAGAGTGTAAACAGCACCAGAAATGTAGCAACAGGGTAAATAAATAAAAATACCTAAGGGGCCAGCATTGTGGTGCAGCAGGTTAAACTACTACCTGTGATGCCAGAATCCCATACGGGCAGTGGCTCAAGTCTCAGCTGTTCCAGTTCTAATCCAGCTCCCTGCTAATGCACCTGGGAAAGCAGCAGAAGACAGCCAAAGTAAGTGGGCCCCTGCACCCACATGGGAGACTTGGAAGAAACTCCTGGCTCCTGGTTTCAGTCTGGCCCAGCCCTGGCCATTACACCCATATTGGGAGTGAACTAGCAGATGGAAGATCTCTCTCTGCTTCTGTAACTAAGCCTTTTAAATTAATTAATTAATTAATTAATTAATCTTAAACCAGAAAAGGAAACAAAAAGAAAAATACAGAAGGCATTGTGGCACAGTGTGTTAAACCTCTACTGTGGAGTGCTGGCTCAAGCATTGGCTTCTCTGTTTCTGATCTGGCTTCCTGATATTGTGCCTGGGAAGGCGATGAATGATAGTCCAAGTACTTGAAAATCCCTGTCACCCATGTGGGAGATCCAAGTGGAATTGCTGACTCCTGGATTTAGCATGGACCAGCCCCAAATGTGGGCATTTGGGGAATGAATCTGAAGTTGGAACATTCTCTCTCTCTTTCTTTCAAATAAATAATTTTTTTTAATTTCATTTACTTCCATTCATAGTGTATTAATTGCCTCTATTCAAACCACAATGTCCACAAGGCAAATGGATCCATAGAAAGGCCAAGAGATAGAAACTTCAGAGTCATCAGTGTATAAATGGTTACTAAATCTATACATTGGGACAAAGTACCCAGGGGTCGTGCAAAGAAACTGAGAACAGCAGAACAAGGCATGGAGTACTAGAGAATTGAGATTTTAAGATATAAACACATACAGAGGAGTCAGTGATGCAACCTAAGAAGGAATGACCATAGAAGAAGAACTGGGGAAGATTCACCTCACAATAACTAGTACAGAGAAGCTGGGGCAGGGGTGAGGTGAGAAGACAAGATTACAGACAGGAGTGTATGAACAACAGTGGCAGCTACTAGAGAGAGGTCATGCTCATCAAGGGCAGCAGAGTGGGTGTGACGACAGGGAAGATAGAGTTGACCTTGGCAACTATAGTTCAGTGAAGTAAAGGGATGGTGAGAATGGAAATGAGACTACAGATAGCAGTGATGATAAAGGAGTGGAGGGTAAAAACAAAGTAACCCTGGTCTATGTCCACTACAGCTAGGCTTCCAAAACACTGTCCTCCCAGATGGGTACAGAAGCATTTTATTTTTTTTTAGATATATTATTTATTAGAGAGGCAGAGTTACGACAGAAAGGCCTTCCATCCAAGGGTTCACTTCCCAAATAGCTGCAAAGGCTGAAGCTAGGCTGATCTGAAGCCAGGAGCCAGGAACTTCTTCCTGGTCTCCCATGTGGGTGCAGGGGCCCAAGGACTTGGGCCATCTTCCACTGCTTTCCCAGGCCACAGCAGAGAGCTGGATGTGAAGAGGAGAAGCCCAGACATGAACCAGCACCTATAAAGGATGCCAGCACCACAGATGGAGGCTTAGCCTACTGTGCCACGGTGCCAGCCCCCAGAATCATCTTTAAAAGGAAAGATGGGGCCCGGTGCTGTGGCATAGTGGGTAAAGCTGCTGCCTGCAGTGCCAGCATTCCATATGGGCACCAATTCAAGTCCCAGCTGCTCCACTTCCAATCCAGCTCTCTGCTATGGCTTGGGAAAGTACTGGAAGACGGGCCAACTCCTTGGGTCCCTGTACCCACGTGCGAGACCCAGAAGTTCCTGGCTTCTGGCTTCGGATTGGCCCAGCACCAACGGTTGTGGTCATTCAGGGAGTGAAACGGCAGATGGAAGACTTCTCTCTCTGTCTTTGTCTCTCTGTGGCTCTGCCTTTCAGATAAATAAATGAATCTTTAAAAAATTAAATAAAAGTAAAGATGGAGGAGCTGGCATTGTGACGTGGTGGGTAAAGCTGCTGCCTCCAGCACCAGCATCCCACATGGGCACTGGTGTCCTGGCTGTTCCACTTTCCATCCAGCTCTGTTAATGACTTGGGTGAAGCTCCTGGGCTCCTGGCTAGAGCCTGGTCCAGCACTGGCCATTGCAGCCATCTGGAGAGTGAATCAGTAGATGGAAGCTCTCTCTCTCTCTCTCTTCCTCTCTCTCTGGAACTCTGAACATAAACAAATACATCTTTAAAAAAAAGATTGGGAAGATTTTTGTCAAAAAAATTTTAATTCGAAAAACATTTCTCTCTCCCAATTCAGAGGCATATGAAAACAGAATGAACTCATATCTTTCTCTCAGAATTATACAAAAAAAAAATGAAGTTTTCACATACTCAGTAATACTCAGTACATACATATTTGGAAATACTCAGGTAATACTCAGGTAATACTCAGTACATACATATTTGGAAATATTCAGATACTACTGTTATAGTTTGGAATGCTTTTGGTCCCTCCAAAAATGGTCGCTAATGCAACTGTACTGGGAGGCATGGTCTCTAGGCAATGACTGAATCATGAGGGCTCTGCTCTCATGGATGGAATTAAATCCCTTCTCAAAGAGCCTGACAGGAGCTGTCCCTTCTCACCTTCTCAGCCCTCTGCCTTCTGTCCTGTGAGGACAGTGTTCGTCCGCACCAGAGGACACGGATTCAGAGTGACTTCTGGGAAGAAGACAGCTGCCCTCACCAGATGCGAGCACTTTGAACTTGGACTTCCCAGTATGTAGAAGCGTGAAGGGAAAAAAATCTGTTCTTTATAAATTACCAGACTGGGATATTCTGTTACAGCAGCCAAAACGGACTAAGAGAATTTTATTACGCTTAAATACTGAGCCAATGCAGGCATCGCAGCACAGTGGGTTAAGCTGTCACTTGGGACGCCCGCACCCCAAATATCAGAGTGCTGGGTCACGTACTGGCTGCTCTGCTTCCAGTCTGACTGAAGTGCCTGGGAAGCAGCAGCTGATGGTCTAAACAGCGGAGTTCTTGCAGCCCACATGGGAGAACCATTCCTGGTCCCTAGCTTCAGTCTGGCCCAACTCCAGCTGCTGCAGCCATCTGGGGAACGAACCAGTTGATGGAAGGTATCTGTCTCGCAGTCTGTGTGTGTGTCTCACACTCTCTGTCACTTTGCCTTTCAGATAAATAAATAAATAAATCTTCAAAAAAAATACTGAGCTACACCTCAGTTTTTCAAGTCTATTGTAATAAACCTCTATACAATAAAAATGCATAAAGGTCCTATAAAAACTGAAAAACAAGCAGCATTCTCTAATACTAAGGGCTCAATATTGAAGATAAAAATTTTTATAACCAATTCATACTAACTGAATGAAAGAAAGTTATCACCTACTTACAAGCTACTTACCTCGGGCTCCAGCTTGAAGTTGAGCCACTCATCAAGTTTCAGAGCTGCTAAATGAGCCGTAGTCCTGTCTTCCACCTCACTGTCACTACTGTCATTGGGAATGCCATCCGCTGTCCCAACACATATCAAAGAATAAACCTCTGTTACCATCTTACAGTACAGCAAAAAGCTAAGCAGAACGATCATCCCCAGGTACAGAAAGCCTGCCATACCAACAATTTATGTGCAAAGTTCTTGAAACCCAACAGATCATAAATTATATCCCAATATTTAAAGAGAGAAAAAGAAGACATTTTAAGATTGCAATCTCTAATCACAATGCACAAAACAGAACAAAAAACAGGAATTTTGAAACTAAAGCACGATCTTCAAATAGTAACTGAAGAAGTAACTAAGAACATAATTAAAGAACGGTATGACAACACTATATATCAAGAGCTCTGGTAGATGCTCAAAGCAACACTCGCATAAACTCATTTAAACCAATTTAAAAAGTTGAGAACTGTATGGTTAAATACATCTTAGAAAATCTGCATAAAACCCAAAGAAAAGTAGAAAACAAAAATTAATGAATTGGAGCTAAAATGTTAACAGTTAATATTATAATCCATTTCTTTGCAAGGACTAACAGACAACCTCTGTAATTTTAATAAAGGAAGAAGCACAAATATATCTACAAAATCAGAAGTGAGAATAAGATTATAAAAATTAATCTAAGATTGGGGCTGGTGCTGTGGCACAGTGGGTTAATGCCCTGGCCCAAAGCACCGGCATCCAATATGGACACCGGTTCGAGACCCAGCTGCTCCATTTCCAATCCAGCTCTCTGCTATGGCCTGGGAAAGCAGCAGAAGATGGCCCAAGTCCTTGGGTCCCTGCACCTACATGGGAGACCCGGAAGAAGCTCCTGGCTCCTGGCTTCGGATCAACACAGCTCCAGCCGTTGTAGCCAACTGGGGAGTAAACCATCAGATGGAAGACCTCTCTCTCTATCTTTCTCTCTCTCTGCCTCTCCTCTCTCTGTATAACTCTTTTATATAAATAAATAAATCTTTAAAAATTAATCTAAGATTATAAAATATAAGCTGAAACATAAAATATACCTAATTAGAGAGTAAATCTGAAATCTTTAAAAAATTATTCATAGTCTACCAAGAAAATTACTAAAACAGAAAGAAAAAAGAACTACAAAAACATAAAGCTATTTAAGAAAAACAAAACTAAAGATGACTTAAAGAACAGCAACAAAGTAAATCAGAATATCAAGTCTCTCAAACTTTGAGGGAATCAGATAATAACTAGTTCCTTTAATGATATAAATTTGAACGTAACCCTAAAACCTGATAATACCTAAAATCTAAAAATACCTGAAAGCACACAAGAATACTCCACAAAACCTACAGCTTCACTAATAAACATATATATAACACTCTTAAGTAAAATGCTAGAAAAACATGCAGCCACATAATAAGTACTACTTAGTCCAAGGAAGGTTTATTCTAAGAAAAAAAAATAGCTCCTTAAGAAAACCTATATACAACATCAACAGGCTAACCAAATTCTGACTGCATGGACAAATCCTCAATAGCTATTTGATAAATTCAAGACATTTTTCTAAAAAACAATACTTCCCTGTTAATAAAACAAAAATTAACATTATGATCAATAGTACATTTAGAATTTAAACTTTTAAAATTCAACAGTGGTAATTAATATAGTTTTCCAAACTTTTGAAAAAAGAATCAAAAGCAAAAGTTTTGGTAAAAAATGTAAGTATTATCACCTAAAGGTAGTACAACATAATAAATACAAATTCCCCAAAATTAGTAAGAAATTGGTGAAGTAGCAGGGCAAATAAAACATGCTAAAATCCATTGGAGTGCACCTATTAAGCGAAATCAGCAGTAAAATGACTTATAACCACAGAAAGGCAGCAGAGTTACAGGCAGACCTTCCAACACCAGGTACTAACACTTATTAATAAACAAAACTGCTACATAAGACCGGCGCTGCGGCTCACTAGGCTACTCCTCTGCCTTGCGGCGCCGGCACACCAGGTTCTAGTCCTGGTCGGGGCACCGGATTCTGTCCCGGTTGCCCCTCTTCCAGGCCAGCTCTCTGCTGTGGCCAGGGAGTGCAGTGGAGGATGGCCCAAGTGCTTGGGCCCTGCACCCCATGGGAGACCAGGATAAGTACCTGGCTCCTGCCATCGGATCAGTGCGGTGCGCCGGCGGCAGCACACCAGCCGCGGCAGCCATTGGAAGGTGAACCAACGGCAAAAAGGAAGACCTTTCTCTCTGTCCACTCTGCCTGTCAAAAAAAAAAAAAAAAAAAAACCTGCTACATAAGAAAGAACAATAGGCCGGCACCCCAGGTTCTAGTCCCGGTTGCTCCTCTTCCAGTCCAGCTCTCTGCTGTGGCCCGGGAAGGCAGTGGAGGATGGCCCAAGTCCTTGGGCCTTGCACCTCATGGGAGACCAGGAGAAAGCACCTGGCTCCTGGCTTCAGATCAGCGCGGTGCACCAGCCACAACGTGCAGGCTGTAACAGCCACTTGGTGGGGTGAACCAACGGAAAAAGGAAGACCTTTCTCTCTCTCTCTCTCTAACTCTGCCTGTCAAAAAAGAAAAAAAAAAAAAAAAAAAAGAAGAAGAAAGACAATAGAAAGGAAGAACTGTAAAACGTGTTCAGAAAGCTTACACAGGCCAAATTTAATTTGTAAACAAGTAAGTTTTCTAAAGCAGAATACATACAATCTAACAAATAGGGTATATAAAAAGAAAGTATTCAATAATAATTAGTCCTAATATGTTTTGGTATAGAGGAAGAACCATAAGTCATATTCATATACATTTATCAAGTAATTCCACTTCCAAGACTTTTAAATCAGGAAAATATGAAATGAATGAGAGTAGGACACCCTGATGAAGACATCCACGTGCCAACGCCCCTGTCTTGTCCACAGTCTCATGAGTGGCCCATCACAGGGGCACTTCCACTCTCTCCACACACCCTGCTGCGGGCCCACCACCTCACTGAGACTGCTCTTGTCAAGCTCACTGATCACTGCACACACTGCCAAATACAACACAAAACTTTCACCTTTTTCATTATCTCAGAGTAACGATTAATAGTGTTGACTCCCTTCTTCAAGCATACCTTCCTCCAACACTGGTCCACTCTTCCTTCCTGTGCTCAAACATACTTACTCTTCAGGCAATCCACACTGAAGTCTTGAAAGACCTTCCACAGGCTGATGAGGTCCACATCTGCACTGCTCAGGCCTCTTCCCGCCCCCTCCCCCGATCACCAGCATCTCATATCAGAGTGTCAGTTTGCATTCTGGCGACTCCACTTTCAATCCAGCTTCCTGCCAATATGTGCCTAGAAGGCAGTGGATGATGGCCCAACTACTTAGGTCACTGACACCTATGTGGGAGATGTGGATGGAGTTCCAGGCTCCCAGCTTCAGCCTGGCCCAGAGCCAGACACTGTGTCCATTTTGGGAGTGAACCAGTAGACACAGATCTGTCTCTGCCTCTCTCTCTTTCAAATAAGTAAGTAAATCTTAGTGAGGGGAAAATGTCTAAAACAGAACTCTTGGATGCCCACCCGTACATCCTGCTCCTCCCAATCTCAAGTAACTGGCATCACCATCAGCAAGCTACTCCAGACAGAATCTGCAGGTACACCTGATTCCCCCCTTTCCCTTACCAACTACATTCAATGCCCTAGTCACCAGCTAATCTAAAATAATTCTGAAGCTACTGCTTTTCATATCAGCTGCCATCATCCTCTTCTTTTTATATATATATATATATATATTTCGAGCCCTGTTTATCTGACAGGCAGAGTGGACAGTGAGACATTGGTTCACCCCACAATGGCTGCTGCAGCCACTGGGCACTGAGCTTATCCGAAGGCAGGAGCCAGGTGCTTCTCCTGGTCTCCCACGCAGGTGCAGGGCCCAAGCACTTGGGCCATCCTCCACTGCCTTCCCAGGCCACAGCAGAGAGCTGGACTGGAAGAGGAGCAACTGGGACAGAACCGGCGCCCCAACCGGGACTAGAACCCGGAATGCCAGCGCCGGCCACAGGCGGAGGATTAGCCTAGTGAGCTGCGGCGCTGGCAGAAATCAATTTAAAGGAGAGTGGTTCTTGGAGCCGGCATTCTGGCACAGTAGGTTAAGCTTGCACCTGCAACATCAGCATCCAATATGGGCTTCAGTTTGTGTCCCAGCTGCTCCACTTCCATTCCAGCTCCTTGCTAATACGTCTGGAAAAGCAGCGGAAGGTGGCCCAAGTCTTTAGGCCCCTGCACCTTGTGGGATACCCAGAGAAGTTCCTGGCTCCTGGCTTCGGCCTGGCCCAGCCCTGGCTGTTGCGGCCATTTGGGGAGTGAACCCCTAGATGGAAGATCTTTCTCTCTGTGTGTGTCTCTCTCTGTAACTCTACCTTTCAATAAATAAAAAAAATCTTAAAAAAAGGAGAACAGTAGTTCTTGCTATTTCCTAATAGTGTCACAATATCAAAAGTATGTTGCTACGACATAAATTCTTATAACTTTACAATTTTGGGGTTTAGTAAAGAAGTTTTGCTTCAAACAGATATTTATTTCATTTTTAGTACATTTACCTCTAAAGGAGGAGGGTTCCTGGAGAGCATTACTTGCCAACCTAGCAGGTCCACAGAATACCAACACAGTGACAGGCGTCACTGCCGAGCAACACCTGATATTCGCTATTCTATGCGCTCTGGTCATCTCATCATAAAGAAGCCAGTCTGTGGGGAGTGCTTGAATTGCCGCAGCTTGGCCATTAGCTGGAGGAATCTATTACAGAAATAAGTGAGAAATCCCCTCATTGTATTGATCACCAAAGTGACTGGGAATACTTTTAAAACATGCAAAGTTGTTCAGTTAAATAGAGGATGTAGTTTAGTATCCAGGCAAAAATTAAAGAAAATCACAGCTAATAAACTTAATATAAAAATCTTCATTACTTTTCCAATATTATCTCTTACAACTCTTAAAATTCAAACAAAATTTTGTTCCAATGTTTTAATTTTACATATATGATTAATATCAAACCAGGCAGCTATCTAGAACATTTTTTTATTGATCTCCAATGACCAAAATTAATTTCACCTCAAGGCCTGAGAGTATCAAAAATGGTTTACCTTTTTATATTGAGGCTGACTGAGAACTGAAGTGGGATGAAAGCGCACTTTTTTCTCTTTTGGCCCTGTCAGTACTACATTCTCTCTGTCCACATGGACTAAATTAGGATACATGCCTGCCACCAATGCAGCTTTAACAACAGCCCAGTTCTCAGAATTTGTGTTAACATCGCGAATGTCACCACCACCTCGTGCTCTAACGAAACCTAGAGAGAGGAAAAACCCACAACAACATTTTCTATTGTACAAAGATCCTTTTAAATTACAGCGTTTTTTACCAAAAGTTGTATAACTGATGTAACTTTAATGATATTCCAATTCCACAATAATTAATGGAATCTGCTCTGGGAAGTTTGAAATACAAAACCAATTATGATAGTTTAGATCTGCCTCAGATAAAGTACAATACCCACTGGAGGCTTAAGGGGTTTTTTAAAAGCATATTACAGCAATAAACTTCAATAACTGTCAGAAACACATTAAGTTCACAGTTGAAAACCTAAACCATTCTTCTGACTGGTATTAGTAACATTCTGGTTATGACATTAATTCTGGAGGTAAGTCAATCTATAGCATTCTTGATTCAATTTTAAAACATTTTGTATTTCTCCACATTGAAGAAAACTGCAACTCCTCTGGTTCCTTCCTTCTGTTACTTTGGCACTTCAGCTAACCCATGAAATTAGACTCTGGTACTTTTCTTCTGACCAATGCACTTCAACATCTATGCTACTCAAATAATAATAATAATAATTATAATTATAATTATAATTATTATTCAAAGAAGCAATTAAAAAAATCAAGTGTCAGGGCCAGTGTTATAGTACAGTGGATTAAGCTGCCACCTGCCACACTGGCATCCCATATCAAGTACCAGTTTGAAGGCTGGTTTTGTAGCTTCTGTTCCAGCTCCCTGATAGTAAGCCTGGAAGGGGGTGGAAAATGACCCAAGTAACTTGGGTCCTCACTGTCCATGTGGGAGACATGGAGGGAGCTCCAGGCTCCTGGCTTCAGCCTAACCTGGCTCTGGCTCTTGAGACCATTGGGGGAGTGAATCAGTGGATAGATGATCTCTTTCTTACTGTTCCTCCTCTTTCTGTTATTCTGTCTCTCAAATAAATAAAATAAATCTTAAAAAAATCAAGTTTCTTCAAATGATTATCAGTTGTTTTAATATTCCAAGAATATGAAACATAGCACTCACATCAAGCAGCTTAAATTTAGGTAGTTCCTATTTCACAGAACTACTTTATATCACTACTTCATTAATAGTGATATAAGAAATTATAATAACAACAATATCTAAATGGATCTTCACTAACAAAAATAAATTGCTCCCTGCTAACAGTATCAAAAAGGTATCAACTCTGTTTATGTACTTCTCAAATACAAATTCTTCAATATCATGTTTTTCATCAACAAACAGAAGTTGCGGTCATGCAGAAGTCTACAACTCGGTTCATGAACATGAGACACACAACATGATGTCATAAAAATCCCAAGAGCATCAATTAACACTAGAAAGAGGATGAGACACGGTCAGCAGACTCTAAACACTGTAAAGAATTTCTTTCATGGAAAAACTTTACCTGATGCTCTAAGTTGACCAAGCAACTGTGTTCTCATGCCTATAATTATTTCCATGGTAGCTTGTGAAAGAAAATTCTTTTCACAAAAGGCTCGTTCCCACCCATCACTTCGAGCTTTCTGCCAAGCCTATAAAAACAGAATAGTTACATAACAAGACACATTTACCACCAATCACTTCTTGGAGGCAACAAAGTAGCTGAAAACCACCATTGGTAATCACTCAAAGTCAATTCTCCATATTCTAATTATTCTATAAAATCTAACACTTTATGATCAGATAAAACTGATATTAGGGGCAGGCATCTGGCACAGTGGATAAGCTGCAGTTAGGAGGCCTGCATCCAACATCAGAGTACCCAGGTTAAATTCCCAGCTCCAGTTCCTGACTCCAGTTTCTGCAAATGTGGACTCAGAAAGGCAGCAATGATCGATCAATCAGTTGGGTTCCCGCCACCCATATGAGAGACCTAGCTTGGGTTCTCAGGTCCTGGCTTCAGCCCCCAGCCCATAGCATTTCAGGAGTGAACAGGTGAATGGGGGCAAGCTCACTTGTATGAGCTCTCTTCCTGGCACTCGCTGCCTCTATTTCTTTCTGCCTATCAAATAAATAAATTTCAAATTTATCACCAATTCATACTCAAACACTATGAAAGTCATTGGGTTTACAAAACCCCTAGGAGAACTAAGTGTCAAACAACCTAAATGATCAGCTATGAGATATATTCACATTCTCAGGTAAACCTGCCAATTTTATTCCACACAAGTGTGAGTAGTTTCAATTACGCCATCCTAATCCACTTGTATCTAGGAATTCTGCCACTGTAGTCTTTCAATCATAGTCTCTGTATCAACCTCCTGATCTGAGAATGGAAACTTGGATTTCTAGGAACGACCCTCTATGCAGCATAAAAAGCTCCCTTTTGAAAATCAGTTTTCTTGCTTTAGGTGTAACTGGAAGACCAAAGCAATAATTATCCTGTTTTAGAAGAAGCAGGGGGAAAGCAAAGAACAGATAGGAATTCTACTCCAAATATCCCAGTAATTACTATTCAACTGCCATACTATAATATACAGTATTTAACACACAATTAATAGCAAACAGCCATCCACTGTTCCATAGCACTCATAACAGAACTTGTGATTATTTTTAAGAATTATGTATGTGCATATATGCATATTATGTATGTGCATATATGTATATGCAATACTGGCATACCGTATGGGCACAAGTTCTTGTCCCAGCTATTCCACTTCCAATCGAGTTCCCTGCTAATGGCCTAGGAAAGTCAAGTACTTGGGCCCCTGGCACCCACATAGGGGTAGGGGATGAAGTTCCTGGCTCCTGGCTTCTGCCTGGCCCAGCCCTGGAGGTTGTAGCCATCTGCGGAGTGAACCAACAGATGGAAGATCTCTGTGTGTGTGTATGTGTGTGTGTGTATACATGTGTATCTCCCTCTAACTCTTTCAAATAAATAAATCTTAAAAAAATAATGTATTTTAGAAAAATCTTACATGCCTGAAAAAGTACTTTCAACACAAAGTTGAGCTCTCTCTGTATATACTTCTTAAATTTTAAAATAAAGAGTAAAAAATCAATAGATATTAAATTCAAGATAATTTTCTTCCAACCTTTGTTCTGTAAACTTTAGACAACGTTCAAATAAAATTTTAGAGCATTCTCTGTCCAATATATGATTTAAAGATAAGGAGCTCAGTATGAAAAAATAAGCATGAGTATTAAATATAATATTCATCTAAGGAGAAAATGAGGGGAAAACATGTAAAGAAAGATTGATATTTTTAACATATTAACAGCAAGAAGTATTTTTCTGGGCTATTAGTTAAATGTGACCTCAGTTTAAAAGTTTACTGTATATGAGTGAAACACACATCTTTGTGATTTGATTACTGTTTAAAGCCCTTGCCTACATTCCTGCTGAACTATGGTCTTTTTATTTCTTATTTGTTAAACTCTTTATTTAGCGGAGCATTAAGGTTTTGACTATAATAATAATAATTAAAATAGAAAACTAATGAAATTATTTTCTATCTCTTTAAACTGCTACACTTTACCCAGAAATGCGTTCAACACAGCATTTTCAGAAACAAGCCCCAGCACTAGTACCTGGAAGGCTCTGAGAAGCGCCATGTGGTCACTGAAAGTTCCTGCAGTGAAACGCTTCCTGCAAAGCATCGCTGCACGCTTTTGAGAGGCCTGGGTGGGCAGCACAAAAGGATCTCGGTAGGCCAGAGTGCAGGCAATTGTAAGAATGGGATCCAGACACTTCAGAACAACAGCGCACAGCACCATTTTGCCAAGATGTGGCTCGACTGGCAAGTCAGCCAAGTGATATCCAAGTTCAGTCAGATCTTCCCAGGCATCCATTGCATCTATTGTCTAAATAAAAGGATACAGAAAAGAAGCTGACATGACCAAACACTGTTTAACCACACCACATACTTAAAAATCCATAAGTAAAAAAATATAAAATCTTTTGTCACATAAAAATATTTCACTTCAAATATATTATACTTACATAAAAGAACAATACACTGTATTACCTACTATTAACTACTGTGACAGTATTATTTAGAGTGCATGATACACTAAAATGTTTTCAAAGTATAAATAGGTTATATATCCTCATTCAGTTTAAATCTTAAATTTAAAAAAAGCTAGGAACTATTAAGACACTTACCTTCAGCATCTGTACAGCATTTCTTACAATCAAAGCTGGCGGGGGTTCAGGAGCTTTCATAAGGAAGTCAGCAACGGCACAATTAACTGGGGCTAACAGCTTGGTATGTAAACAAAGTTCCTTTAAATCAAAACAGTAAAGAATGTACTTTAGACTTTTACCTGTAAATGAATTACACAAACTACAGCTCCCAAACACAGACTAGAAAGCTTCTTATTAAACTGAACAGCAGAAGGAACAACATCTTCCTATGAAACATGGGCTCACAACTAGCCTGATCGGCCAGAATCCTCATCAGCACCATCAGTCAACTCGTACCATTGTCCCTTCTGGCTACATCTCCTCACAGAATTCTTAGATACAGGGGCTGGTGCTGTGGCTTAGTGGCTAAAGCCACCACCTGCAGTGACAGCATCCCATATGGATGCCAGTTCAAGACCCAGCTGCTCCTCTTTTGATCCTGCTCTCTGTTATGGCCTGGGAAAGCAGTAGAAGATGGCCCAAGTACTTGGGCCCCTACATCCACATATAGGCCATTTGGGGAGTGAATCAGCAGGTAGAAGATCTCTCTGCCTCTGCCTCTCTGTAACTCTGCCTTTCAAATAAATAAATAAAGCTTAACAAAAAAAAAAAGAATTCTTATATACAACTGTTAGAGCACTATTCAAAAAATAAATCTTTTCCCTGCTTTTTTTATACTTACTACATCCTAGAATCTTTTATTTGTTCAACCATACTTAAGTGCTCTCTAGGTTCATGGCATTATGCAGCAAGTTGTAGAAGAGGAACACAGACAAGTGTCTGTACTCATGGAGTTTACACTGTTGTGTAAAAACAGACCTGAAATAGCTAATTATATAATTAACAACTTTATTAGAATTGTGGTAAGTGCTATGAAATTACAGGGAGGCAAAGAGTGACCGAAGCAAATTCAAGAAACAGCAAGGGCCAGCACTGTGGCACAGTGGGTTAAGGTCCTGATCTGCAGTGCTGGCATCCTCTATGGGTACTGGTTCGAGTCCCGGCTGCTCCACTTCTGATCCAGCTCCCTGTTAATGCGCCTGGGAAAGCAGCAGAGGATGTTCCAAGTCCCTGGGCCCCTGAACCCACGTGGGAGATCTGGAAGAAGCTCCTGGCTCCTGATTGGCTCAGCTCTAGCCGTTGGGGCAATTTGGGGAGTGAACCAGAGGTTGGAAGACCTCTCTCTCTCTCTGACTCTACTTCTCCATGTAACTCTGTCTTTCTAATAAATAAAATAATTCTTTAAAAAAAAAAAAAGGAACAGCAAGAGGAGGGAGCTCTGAGAAATAGGAAATAACCCTTACACTAAATGCAAAGATTGAGTAGGAGTCAATAACAAAAGAAATTGGGAGGTGAAGGGGAGGGATCCTACGGAGAAGGAACTGCACATGTGAAGACCCTAATGTTAAAAAAATAAATAAATAAAAGATATATTCAAGAAACTGAAATTGCTAGTTTAAGAACAGAAGGCAGGAAATAAAACTGGAGACACAGGTAAGAACAGGTAACTAAGGCTCTTGTTAAGCTTAAGAATACTGGACTTGGGGGCTAGTATTGTGGCATAAATTCGCTGCCGGCAGTGCCAGCAACCCATAAGGTGCCAGCTCGGGTCCCAGCTGCTCCACTTTCAATCCAGCTCCCTTATAATGGCCTGGGAAAACAGGAGAGGAATGGTCCAAGGGCTTGGGCACCTGCAACCACACGGGAGACCCAGAAGAAGCCTCTGGCCCCTGGCCTCAGCCTGACCCAGCTCTGGCTGTTGTGGCCATTAGGGGAATGAACCAGTTGGAAACTCACTCTCTCTCTCTCTCTCTCTCTCTCCCTCTCTCTCTATCTTTCTACCTCTCTACCTCTGCCTCTCCTTTTCTGTAACTCTGACTTCCAAATAAATAAAATAAATCTTCAGAAAAAAAATTCTGGATTTTATCCCAGGAGGGACAGAAAATTGCCACAGGCTGGGGGCCGGCGCTGTGGTGCAGCAAGTTAACACCCTGGCCTGAAGCGCCTGCCTCCCATATGGGCGCCGGTTCTAGTCCTGGCTGCTCCACTTCCGATCCAGCTCTCTGCTATGGCCTGGGAGAGCAGTGGAAGATGGCCCAGATCCTTAGGCCCCTGCACCCGCTGGGAGACCCAGAAGAAGCTCCTGGTTCCTGGCTTTGGATTGGTGCAGCTCTGGCCATTGTGGCCATCTGGAGAGTGAACCAGCAGATGGAAGATCTCTCTCTTGGTCTGTACCTGTCTCTGCAACTCTGTCTTTCAAATAAATAAAATAAATCTTAAAAAAAAAAAATAAAACTGCCATAGGCATGGGGAAGTAAGAGATCTTTGTAGGATGTGGATGTCAAAAACATGATTCTGCATCTCTTTAAAGGTTTGGAAGTTAGCATCTAGCCCAAAACACTGAAGAATCAATCAAATTAATGCATTTCTGGTAGCTTTCCCTAGAAACTGCAGTATATGGCCATGAAGTCAGAAAACATAAAGGAAAACAGTCAGTAAAGACAGGAAATTTAATGAACTCAGTTCCAAAACTATCAAAGTAACTTCAGCATCTTACACTGAGGTTTACATTGTTCTGCAGACCTAGTACTTTATTTTCCAATCCTATTGAGGACATGAAAGGCGAAACAACGTAGCTGTCTCCTAAAACGTCACATTAAAGAGGGCAGCACAATTTAAATATACTCAAATAAGTCTTTCCTTTCTTTCTTTCAGTTAATGGATTAAGAATTTTTTTTTTTTTTTTTTGACAGGCAGAGTGGACAGTGAGAGAGAGACAGAGAGAAAGGTCTTCCTTTGCCGCTGGTTCACCCTCCAACGGCCGCTGCGGCCGGTGCACCGCGCTGATCCTAAGGCAGGAGCCAGGTACTCATCTTGGCCTCCCATGGGGTACAGGACCCAAGTACTTGGGCCATCCTCCACTGCACTCCCTGGCCACAGCAGAGAGCTGGCCTGGAAGAGGGGCAACCGGGACAGAATCCGGCGCCCCGACCGGGACTAGAACCTGGTGTGCCAGTGCCGCAAGGCGGAGGATTAGCCTAGTGAGCCGCGGCACCAGCCTCAAATAAGTCTTTAAAATTTTCAAAGTTTGTGAATCAATGTGTCTTGTATAGATTTTTTGTTATAGACATAACCATCGTCCATAATATATATTTTACAATTTTGCTTCATAAATTAATGTTATAAATTGTTTTTAATTCTTTTGAGAGGTAGAAAGAGAAAGAGAGAGAGAGAATTCTCCCCTCCACCAGCTTCCTCTCTAAATGCGTGCAACAGCTGGGACTGGCTCAAGTCAAAGCTAGGAGCCAGGTACCCAATCCAGTTCTCCCACAAGGGTAGCAGGAACCCAATTACTTGAGCCATTACCATTGTCTCCCAAGATCTGCATTAGCAGGAAGTTGGAAGCAGGAGCCAGAGCCAGGTATCCATGTACTCCATTCTGGTGCACAGGCATCTTAACTACTGCACTAAATATGCATTTCCTAAATTGATTTGTTTAAAGTCCAATTGCTATCATGCTGAAATGGCCCCTCATCTCCCTCATCCACAAGAAAATGACTTTTACAATTAAATAAATTTCTACCTGTAATGGCATTCTCAAAAGTTCTGGGGTCTGAAATTCCAACATATTCTGGAATCGGAGCCTACTGAACAGACGAAAACAAATTCCAGGTCTACAACGCCCAGCTCTTAAAAACAAAATACATAATTAAGATTCAAAAAAAGAATAAAGTCTGTAATAAACAAACTACAAAAGCAATGTGATTTAGAAGACAGCGAAATGAACAAGAATCAAGACATTTGAGTCAGAATCCTTACTTTTCCTCTCCGAATCCTTTTAGAATGCAATTCACTTGTCTGCAACTCAATTCATTTATAGACTAGATAATAAATGACACTTACCTGATATGCCTTCTAGTGTTATGGTACAAATCAAAACACATTAGATATGAAATCAAGTAAAAAGAAAATCACAGATAAATGCTTGGAAATTCAAATTCAAACAATTTTACTGAGCTGATATCAAGCACTGTGTTCAGACTCACGCATTATACAACTTTAAGGGAAAACCAATTATCCCATCATATTATGGGAAGCAGCAGAAAAATATCAGCCATGTCACTGTAAAGCAAGTCAGGGATGCATATTCCGAGTGACAGGGATATAGGACTATCCGGAACCTCAGAGAGTTCAGAAGCCAGAGAGGAAACATAACTTAGGCAGCTCTACTTGGATTTTCCACAATCAACTCAATCTCAACACAATCAAGTTAATCCTTCTCCTTAACTTAAGTACTTCCCATTATCCCTGTGTGACACTGTACCACCATCCAATTCTCTAAGACAGAAATCTGGATGACATCCATGATTCCCAAGCCATGGATATATAATCTATCACCAGTATTACACTAATATCTTTTGAATCAATTATCTACTTTATTTCCACCACTGTTCTAACAATGTATGTTACTCTCAACTCTCTGCTATGTAAAAGAAAATTTTAATGGAAGAACTTCTGCTGGGGCCAGGGCATAGCAGGTAAAGCCGCCACCTGCAGGGCAGGCATCCCATATGGGTGCTGGTTCGAGTCCCGGCTGCTCCACTTCTGATCCAACCCCCTGCTAATGTGCTAATGGGAAAGCAGTGGAAGATGGTCCAAGTCCTTGGGCCCCAGCACCCATGTGGGAGACCAGGAAGAAGCTCCTGGGTTCAGATACGTCCAGCTTTGGCCAATGCCGCTATTTGGGGAGTGCACCAGTGGATGGAAGATCTCTCTTTCTCTGCCTCTCCATAACTCTGCCTTTAAAATAAATAAATCTTGGGGCCGTCACTGTGGCACAGCAGGTTAATGCCCTGGCCTGAAGCACCTGCATCCCATATGGGCGCCAGTTCAAGACCCAGCTGCTCCACTTCCAATCCAGCTCTCTGCTATGGCCTGGGAAAGCAGTAGAAGAGGGCCCCTACACCCACATGGGAGACCTGGAAGAAGCTCCTGGGTCCTGGCTTTAGATCGGCGCAGCTCCGGCCATTGCTGCCAACTGGGGAGTGAACCATTGGATGGAAGACACCTCTCTCTCTCTCTCTCTCTCTCTCTCTCTCTCTCTCTCTCTGCCTCTCCTCTCTCTGTGAAACTCTGACTTTCAAATAAATAAGTAAATCTTAATAAATAAATAGATAGATAAATCTTACCAAAAAGAGAGCAAGGGGGGGGGAGAGAGAGAGACAGCGAGCGAGAGCGCTTCTGCTGGGTCCTCCCACCATCATTTGTCTCTACTAATCCATTCTCTAAAAACCTTAAAGAATGCTATAGTCATGTCATCTATCCCCTCTTTTTCATATTTGAAAAAGAGACAGGAAGAAAAAATGATCCATAGGTCTGCTCCCGAACTTTCAGCTCATCTTTCACTATTCTTCACTAAAATAAACTGCAATAAAAAACTCTCCTGCTCACTCCTATCGCAGGCATTTGCCATTCTTCTGTGCCCCTCAGAAATGCCCTTCTACAATCTTCTACAATTCTTCTTGATTCATATCTCAGAATCGATGCTAACACTCTAGAAGCATTATCCAGCTGTAGCACAGATCACAAAGCACTGTAATTGCTTAATTACTGAACCCCAACATGAAGTGTAACATTTGCCCCCACTTAAACCTCACCCATCAGCTATAGTTTATTAATTACTTGCAGAATAAAGGTTTTCAACACATGGTTGTTGAAAAAATGACAAAACTTCCATAATTTCTGACCTTTATCATCCATAATACAAATCACATAGTAAAATTAGTAACTACAAACAAAACATAAAATGAATACAGTATCTTCTCCCAAGAGCCCGACAAATCCCCTTTCTCAGAGTAATCAAACTCAGTTTTTAATGTGTCTCCCAAACTTCGCACTGTATTTGTATCTGAGTACGTACACACACACACACCCCTATTTTTTCACAAGAGACTCCCAAATGTGTGTTCAGTACCTTACTTTTACCAATACATCCCGAAAATCCATTCCGAATAAAAACACGCAGCTCTACATCTTCCCTTCTAACAGGTGCCTCATAGGCCACTGTAGGTCACAATACAACTTATTTAATCACATCCCTGCTGATGAACACCACACCATTCCCACAGCTGTAATTATTACAAAAAACAATGCTGCAGAGAACATTCTTAAACATACATCTTTGTGCATTTGTGCAAGTATAACCAGGACAAATTATGAGAAATGGAATCAACAATCAAATGGTAGTTCTGGGCTTTAAAAAAGTTAAAATTACCCTCTAAAGAAGTCAATCAATCTACACTGCCATCAGCAAAATATGAAAGCCTACTAGCCCATATTTTTGCCACTACGTTGTGTGTACTGTGAAACACTGTGATCAACACCAACCTGACAATCAGAAGAATTGCTTCACTCGCATTAATTCTGGTATTTATGAGACAGCACACGTGAGGTTAGTGTATTAACAGGACATAAACACATTTTTGTTAACACATTTTGGTTAACTGCCCATTTATGCCCTTTATCCATCTGAATTGGATTATTGTTTTTATTGGATTATTATTTGATTTTAAACAGTTTTCTTAATATAAAAACATATTAGTACTTTATCCTATATTTCAAAGGTTTAGAACCTTTACTTTTGTTTTTTAAACTTCTTAAATCTTCTTAGGGTAGATTATTGGGTTTTTAATTATAATCTAAATTTGACCTGTAAGAAAGTATTGGCATTAAGCTACATGCGGCTGCTCAAAACCATATGCTTGTTCCACTTGGCTCGCTCCTGGCCTGCTCTCTGCTTGGTATGGATCCAATCCAACTTAGCCTCTAGATTTCCCCTCCTCCCCTAAATAAAGCCCTCATTTTCCTGCACATTTCTCTCACTGAATAAAAAGCTTAAAACTTTTTAAAAAAGTATTAAAATAGGCCGGCGCCGCGGCTTACTAGGCTAATCCTCCGCCTTGCGGCGCCGGCACACCGGGTTCTAGTCCCGGTCAGGGCGCCGGATTCTGTCCCGGTTGCCCCTTTTCCAGGCCAGCTCTCTGCTGTGGCCAGGGAGTGCAGTGGAGGATGGCCCAAGTCCTTGGGCCCTGCACCCCATGGGAGACCAGGAGAAGCACCTGGCTCCTGCCATCAGAGCAGCGCGGTGCGCCGGCCACAGCGCGCCAGCTGTGGCGGCCATTGGAGGGTGAACCAACGGCAAAAAGGAAGACCTTTCTCTCTGTCTCTCTCTCACTGTCCACTCTGCCTGTCAAAAAAATAAATAAATAAATAAAGTAAATAAAAGTATTAAAAGAATCCACTTTGCAAAAATAATAAAAATTAAAGCTAACATGAAAACTAATATTTTATAGAACATAGAATATACAATGAAATACATGAAGATGTTTCCATTTTATAAGCAATTAAAAGAATACAAATTAAAGATACATTACCTGCCTTTTCGCTGTATGGCACTAGCTTTGGAAATCCATACCATTTTTAACATTGTAACAAAATTCAGTGCATCAAAGGATTTCTGTAATATTTAAATCATTTTTGTGTTAAAGCATAGAAAGTATTTTAGAGGAAATACCAAAAAAATGCTATCAACATGTTTTTAAAAGATCTATTCATCTGAAAGGCAGGCAGAGCAACAAAGAAAAAAGGAGAGACAGAGAGAGAGAGGCATCTTCCATCTGCTGGTTCATTCCCCAAATGGCCGCCAAATATCAGGTCTGGGCCAGGCCGAAGCCAGAGGCCAGGAGCTCCATCTGGGTCTCTCAATGGGTGGCAGAGACCCAGGTACTTGGGCCATACTCTCCTGCCTTCCTAGGAACACTAGCAGAGAGCTGGATGGGAAGCAGAACAGTCGGCACTTGAACCAGCACTCAGATATGGGATGCCAGCTTCACAACTAGTAGCTTAATACACTGCACCACGATGTGGACCCCTGTCATCAACATATTTTAACAGGTCAAGTTTAATTCAAAACCCCTCTTGATTACAAAAGAGTACTGATTTTTTAAAATCTAGATTTTTTGGTAATAAAAATTGTAAGTAAAAAAAAAGTAAAATAAAACTAACAGAGCTACAAAACGTCCCCATTCTGTGCTTTGCTGAGCTATCTGCTGTGCCAGCCACAGCTGGGAAATGGCAGGCAGTTCTCATCAGAGGTCAAGACCAGAAGAGAAGTGACCGGTTCTTCTGAGGTCACATTTCTACCAGATTCACACCATTGTGGGGAACAGGAGAGACCACGGAAGGACATTTCTGAAACACTTTTCAGGGAGCTGACCTGAAAAAGTGAGGATAACAACAATCACTAAACTAATCTTATCCCAAAGCAAGGAATTTTTAAACTCTTCTACTTTACCTGATGGTAGACTATTAATGAAGTTAGCCTAGCCTGAATGTCATAAAGGAAAAACTATAAAGACCCATTAGTACCCCCACACTTCCTTAATGGATCTAAAATGAAAATCTGTAGAAAAGTATTGTAAATGAATACATTCCTAACAGAACATATACTTCAATCCTCTATAACTTTTTTCTTTATAAAATAACTACACTGAGCAAATAAAATGTATTCTCATAATAGTTTAATTAAAGAACTTAAAAAATATATTGCTTATTTAGTTTTATATAAAACACTACACTTGTCATTTTTGTACAGAAAATGACTTTTGGCACTACCACCATGCTTAAACTGTGCTTTACTAGATAATTAATACATAAAGGAATTAACATCTAAGATATTCAAAATTTCTTTCATCAGCACTATATCATTTTAGAGAAATAAAACCTGAATCCTCGTTAGCTCACCAATCAGAGAATTAGTGATTATATTCACTACTGTCTTATTACCAAAAAAAGTATCCCTCTTTTATAGTATCCAGCTGTAATGAGCATGATCATATTTTATTCAAAAATTAGATCCTCTGTAAGATATTCCTAAAAGTTACATTGACCTTACAAAGCAATTCATTTTTCACATTAAAATGATGATTTATATCCACTAAACAAGAAATATACTGTTTTCCACAACATGAATAGTATCTCTCCCCTTGGATAAATCAATTACTTCTATCATTTTTTTCCTCCTTTGTGAATGGACAGATCAAAAGTTAGGGGTTGGGGCCGGTGCTGTGGCCCAGCGGGTTAACACCCTGGCCTGAAGCACCAGCATACCATATGGGCACCAGTTCTAGTCCGGACCGCTCCTCTTCCAATCCAGCTCTCTGCTGTGGCCTGGGAAAGCAGTAGAAGATGGCCCAACTGCTTGAGCCCCTGCACCCACATGGGAGACCCGGAAGAAGCTCCTGGCTTCGGATTGGTGCAGCTCCGGCCATTGCGGCCATCTGGGGGGTGAACCATCGGATGAAAGACCTCTCTCTTTCTTTGCCTCTCTTCTCTCTATGTAACTCTGACTTTCAAATAAATAAATAAATCTTTTTTAAAAAAGGGGCACTGAGAATTTCTGGACATTCCAATACTGAAGAGAAATAAACACTGCCTTTTATTTATATCAAGGGTTGGTAAATTGTTTTTGTAATGGGGCAATTAGCAAGTATTTTGGGCTTAGAGAGTGCCTTAATTGCAATTACTCAAATCTTTCAAACTGTAGTATGAAAGCAGCAATATAATACGTCAAAGAGTACAGGTGGGGAATCCTACTTTACTGCTTAGCTACAAACTCTTGACACCTAGCTTATGTATTTGCTTCCTTCAGCACAGTTCTAGGGTTTTTTTGTTTGGTTTTAGGATTTATTTATTTGAAAGTCAGAGTTACAGAGAGGGGGAAAAGAGGGAGAGAGCTCTTCCATCTCTTGGTTCACTCCCCAAATGGCTACAATGGCCGGGGCTGGGCCAGGCAGGAGCCAGGAGCAGGAACTTCTTCGGGATTTCCCAAGTGCTGCAACAGCCCCAGCTGGGCCAGGCAAGGGCCCAAGCACTTGGGCCATGTACTGCTGCTTTCCTAGGTGCATTAGCAGGGAGAATTGGAAGCGGAGCATCCGGGACTCAATCTGGTATACATAAGGGATGCCAGCATCACAGGCGGTAGCTTTATCTGCTATGCTACAACACTGGCCCCCAGCATAGTTCTCTCAATATTTTATGAATACTTACTATTTGTGAGGCACTAGGGATATGAACAACATAGACATAGTCTGCATCCACACTAGCAAGAAAACACACAAAATACGAAATAATCTATGGTGGACATTGTGACACAGCAATTGAAACTGCTAATTAGGATGCCCAAATCCCATACTGGAGTGCTGGTCCAAGTCTTGCCTACTTTGCTTCCAATCCAGTTTGTGTTAATGCCTGAGAGGCAGCAGATGATGGCCCAAGTACTTGGGTTCCTGTAACCTACATGGAAGATACATATTAGGCCGGCGCTGCGGCTCAATAGACTAATCCCCCACCTAGCGGTGCCGGCACACCGGGTTCTAGTCCCAGTTGGGGCGCCGGATTCTGTCCCGGTTGCCCCTCTTCCAGGCCAGCTCTCTGCTGTGGCCAGGGAGTGCAGTGGAGGATGGCCCAAGTGCTTGGGCCCTGCACCCCATGGGAGACCAGGAGAAGCACCTGGCTTCTGCCTTCGGATTGGCGCGGTGTGCCGGCCACAGCGGCAATTGGAGGGTGAACCAACAGCAAAGGAAGACCTTTCTCTCTGTCTCTCTCTCTCTCACTGTCCACTCTGCCTGTCAGAAAAAAAAAAAAAAAAAGATACACATTAGGTTCTAGGCTCCTGGATTCATGACAACCCTGGCTGTTGTAGGCATTTGGGGACTGAACAAGTGAACAGAAGATGTCTGTCTGTCTCCCTCTCTGTCACTCTGCCTTTCAAATAACTAAATAAAAACTTTAAAATATACATGTAATTGAATTCCCACACTGTGTGGCACAATTTTCAATGTAACTAGTCAAATCCCTTACTTTTTCATATTATTTAGTGAGCAAAAGCTAAATTTTTGCACACTATATTAAAATAACAAAAGAAATCCTATATACTGAACTATTTACGGTAGAATATTTCCTACAATGAAATCAACATTTGCTAAGTTAAATTTATCTAGAAAAAGAAATGTCTCTAAAACAGTGAATTCTGCAGCCGGCATTGTGGCATAACGGGTAAAGCTGGCGCCTGCAACACCAGCATCCCATGTGTGCACCAGTTCATGTCCCAGCTACTCCATTTCTGATCCAGCTCCCGCTAATGTGCCTGGGAAAGCAGCAGAGGGTGGCCCAAGTGCTAGGGTCCTTGCACTCACGTGGGAGATCAGGAGGAAGCGCCTGGCTCCTGGCTTCAGCCTGGCCTAGCCCTGGCCTTTAGGGAGTGAACCAGTGGATGGATGGATCTCTCTCTCTCTCTCTCTTTCTCTGTATGTGTGTGTGTGTGTGTGTGTAACTCTGCCTTTCAAATAAAATAAATGTTTTATTAAAAAAAAGTGAATTCTGCTTATAGACAAGCAGTTGTTGTACTGGAACTGAACCTTCCTCATTTAAGTAAAAATATAACTTATCCATACATACCTCTTTTACCTTGCCAGAATCAATAACAAAGACAACATCATTAACCGTGATGCTGGTTTCAGCAATGTTGGTGGAAAGGATCTACAAGATATAATTTTATAATTAATATTAAAATAGAACCAATGACTAAAAATATGCAAAGATTTTATGACACTTACTATTTTTCGAACACCTGCTGGTGGGTTTTTTAATACCTTCTTCTGATCAGATGTTTGCATATTTGAATGAAGCATAAAGACTTGATATCTGTTAAAAATTCAAAGAAAAATATATACTATAGTACCTTTCCACTGTCTTCAACAACATATATAAAGTTTTAACTTTTACCTATGTGTATTGTCAGCAAATCGTTTGTCATCAAAGAGAATACGATCCCTCAGTCCAACAATTTCATCATATCCAGGTAGGAAAATTAATACTGCACCTTGGGGAAGAATATTTTTTAAATATTAAATTTCTCTGTGAAATCAGAGACAATCAAGAGAACTAATTATAAGGAACTCTATCTTAAGTCTTAGGTGATGGTAAACTGTCATAAACATTATCAGTGAAATTATATAAAATGTGTACAATCAAAATATTAGTTTTTAAATCAGAATATAGGCCAGCGCTGTGGCTCACTTGGCTAATCTTCTGCCTGAGGCGCCAGCACCCCGGGTTCTAGTCCCGGTTGGGGCGCAGGATTCTGTCCCAGTTGCTCCTCTTCCAGTCCAGCTCTCTGCTGTGGCCCAGGAAGGCAGTGGAGGATGGCCCAAGTGCTTGTGCGCTGCACCTGCATGGGAGACCAGGAGGAGGCATCTGGCTCCTGGCTTCAGATTGGCACAGCGCCGGCCATAGTGGCCATTTGGGGAATGAACCAAAGAAGGAAGACCTTTCTCTCTGTCTCTCTCTCTCTCTCACTGTCTAACTCTGCCTGTCAAAAAAAAAAAAAAAAAAATCAGAATATAGCTTTTGTTCCAGCCCTTTCAGAAAATACTTACCAGCATCACAACTATGGCAGATATTGTACAGAAGATGCATGATCAAATCCAAGTCTACCTTTTCATCATCAAAACTATGATGATAAGCTTTCAGGAGTTCTCTGTCTTCTGCACTGAGGTCATTTCCATTGGTTTGAACCAGAGAACTTTCATCCAGATTTCCAAATTCCAATGAAGCACTTAAAAAATAGATAAATAAATAAAAGGCCAGGTCTATTTTCACTAAAAAGATTAACTCTTAAAGGTCAGTAATTCCTATTTTGTCCTTTGTCAAATTTCCAATATATCTTAAGGAAGGTAAGTGACAATGGCATAGCTATAATATGTTTTTGCCTCTAGTATGCTATTCAAAGTAAAACTTGGCAATGAGTGCTTTTAAAAAAACACAACTTGAACACATTTATCCAAAGAAAATAGACAAATGACCTATCAAAACATGAGTAGATGATCATTATCAGTAGTCATCAAGGAACACAAATCAAAATCAGAATGAAATACCATTTCACATGGACTAGGATGGCTACAACTAAAAAGACAGATAGTCACAAGCGTTGCAGAAGATGTAGAGAAATAGGAATTCTCATACAGTCCTTGGGGAGGGATGTGTAAAAATGGTGCACCTACTTTGGAAACAATACAGCAGCTCCTCAAAAGGTTAAGCACAGTGTTACCATATGCCCTGGCAATCCTCTCCTTTATAACAAATTAAATGAAAAACAAAAACACCACCAGAATCCACAAATATCTGCCAGTTAGAAAAATTTTGTATACAAATGTTCATATCAGAATTATCCCTAATAGTTAAAAAGTGGGAACTGCCCAAATGTTCATCAGTTCACAAACATACAATCTGTGGTATATCCACAGACTGGAGTATTTTTTACTCAGTCACAAAAAGAATGCTACAATACAGGTGGATCTTGAAAATGTTGTCGTAAGTGAAAGACAGCCACAAAGATCACATGTAATGCAATTCCATTGACACGACATGTCCAGAAAACACAAACCTAGACAGACAGGCGGTAGGTTAGTCGTTGGCTTACGGCTGGGAGATGTGGGGGAAAGGGGAATGACTGCTAACGGATAGAGGCTTGCAGATTGTGGTGACAGCGCCCAAGACTGAACATATGAAAAACCATCAGACTGTACATTGAAACTGGCAAAGTTTAAGGTATATGAATTCTATCTCAATAGAATTATTTAAAAACAAAAACTTTGTGTTTTCATTTATATTTTAATAGGTTGTTCCTAATTATTCACTATTATGAACTAGACTCTGATGGATAAGTTACATTAAAAACTCTATAGACACTAGCTTAATAGGGCTGTTTACTAACTAATTCTATATGAAATGTAGGTTGATTATGCTATCTTTCCAAAAGCCAGAATCAGCATAAATTTCTAAAAAAGGCCGGGTGTTTTGGTCTAGCAGTTCAGCCACAGGTTGGAGTACCCAGTTTGAATCCCAGCTCTGTCCTCACTAACTTCCTGCTAGTGTGCACCCTGGGGCTCAACAGGTGATGCTCAAATAGGTAGGTCCCTGCCAGCCAGTGGGACACCTAAATTTAGTTTTTCTGCTCCCAGTTTTGGCCTGGCTCAGCCTTGGCTATTGCAGGCATTTGGGGAGTAAACTGGAAGCTCTCTTTATCTCCTCTCTGTCTCTAAAAGAAAATAAAACATTGCTAAAATAAACACCTTGCTTCTCCATCCTGTATGTAAAAGTATGAACTACTGTTACCATCAGTAATTATCAATAGCATAATTTAAAAGCTCCACAAGATTTCTAACTTCAGTTCTGCCTAACCTCTTTCTTTTTTTTTCCTAACCTCTCTTAAAGAGCTTGCCAGAAAAATAATGTCTGTTTTCAATAGGGAAAATATTAAACTTAGGCAACTTTACACTTGAATTTCAAAATCTATTGTAAAACACTCTAAGTTTCTTGTTTATTACTCTTTCATAGATGAAATTAGAAGACATATTCTTTGCTTAAACATATAAACTTTAGATATCAATTACAGATTATGTAGCAAACTTTAGCTTTTTGAGGCAGGTGTTTGGCCTGGGATACCCACTAGCACCTAGGTTCAAGTTCTGGCTCTGTTCCTAATAAAGCCCAAGTTGTGAGGCTGCAAATAACAGCTCATGAGACTTGTCAGTTCCTGGCTTCCAGCTTCAGCCTGGCCTAGCACTAGCCTATGTTACGGGCATTTAGAGAACCGAGCCTTTTCTATTTCTTTCTGTCTCCTTTTCTCTGTCCTTATTTCTCAGTCTCCTAAAACAATTTTTAAATTTAACTTAAAACTATGGGACCGCCGCTGTTAGCAGGTAAAGCCACCGCCTGCAGTGCCGGTATCCCATATGGGCGCTAGTTCAAGTCCCAGCTGCTCCACTTCCAATCCAGCTCTCTGCTGTGGCCTGGGAAAGCAGTAAAGACGGCCCAAGCGCTTGGGCCCCTGCACACGCGTCGGAGACCCGGAAGAAGCTCCTGGCTCCTGGCTTCGGATCGGCTCAGCTCCGGCTGCTGCGGCCAATTGGGGAGTGAACCAGCGGATGGAAGACCTCTCTCTCTCTCTCTCTGTCTCTCCTCCTCTCTCTCTAACTATTTTTTTTTATTTTTTTTTTTTTACTATTTATTTGACAGGTAGAGTTGTAGACAGTGAGAGAAAGAGAGACAGAGAGAAAGGTCTTCCCTCTGTTGGTTCACTCCCCAAATAGCCCCTACGGCCAGCGCTGCGCCAATCCGAAGCCAGGAGCCAGGTGCCCCGTCCTGGTCTCCCATGTGGGTGCAGGGGCCCAAGCACTTGGGCCATCCTCCACTGCCTTCCCAGGCCACCGCAGAGAGCTGGATTGGAAGAGAAGCAACCAGGACTAGACCCCGGCGCCCATATGGGATGCTGGTGCTACAGGCGGAGGATTAACCAAGTGAGCCATGGTGCTGGCCGCTCTGTGTAACTCTTTCAAATAAATAAATATTAAAAATAAAAACTAAATAAACCTAAATATGTGTGTATGAGTAACTTTAAATATTTGAAATTACAATTGATAACATCACGACCAAAAGAATAAAAAGAAAACCCAGGGGCTACACTGTGATGTAATGCGTTAAGCTTGCAATGCAAACATCCCATATCAGAGTGACTGTTCCAGTCCCAGCTACCCCACTTTCACTGCAGCTTCTTGCTGATGCTCCTGGGAAGGCAGTGGAAGATGGCCCAAGTGCTGGGGCGCCTGCCTTTAACCTGGCCCAGTTCTAGCTGTTGTAGCCATTTAGGAAGTGATCCAGCAGATGAAAGATCTCTATTTCTCTCTGATCTCTTTTCTCTCTCTCTCTCTCTTTTTTTTTTTTTTTTTTTTTTTTTTTTTGACAGGCAGAGTGGACAGTGAGAGAGAGACAGAGAGAAAGGTCTTCCTTTTGCCGTTGGTTCACCCTCCAATGGCCGCCGCGGCTGGCGCGCTGCGGCCGGCGCACCGCGCTGATCCGATGGCAGGAGCCAGGAGCCAGGTGCTTTTCCTGGTCTCCCATGGGGTGCAGGGCCCAAGCACCTGGGCCATCCTCCACTGCACTCCCTGGCCACAGCAGAGGGCTGGCCTGGAAGAGGGGCAACCGGGACAGAATCCGGCGCGCCAGCGCCGCTAGGCGGAGGATTAGCCTAGTGAGCCGCGGCGCCGGCTCTCTCTCTCTCTTTACTCTCTGTCACTCTGCCTTTCAAATAAATAAATCTTTACAAAAAAAAAAAAAAAAAGTCCAGTTAGCCACGATGATTGTTTTACTTGGTACTCTGTAGTGTCTACTGAAAGAAGGTAAAGAACAGGGGTTGGCACTGTGGCACAGTGTATCAAGCCACCATTCGCAACCCTGGCTTCCTATATCAAGACTGCTTGCTTAAGTCAAGGCTGCTCCTCTTCTGACCCAGCTCCCTGCTAATGTGCCTGGGAAAGCAGCAGCAGATGATCCAGGTACTGGGGCCCCTGACACCCATGTGGGAGATCAGCATGGAGTTCCAAGGCTCTTGGCTTCAACCTGGCTCAGCCCTGGCCACTGCAGCCATTTGGATGGTAATCCAGTAGACAGAAGATCAATCTCTCTCCCTCTCTCTCTCTCTCTCTCTGCCCTTTCTCTGTGTCGCTCTGCCTTTCTAACAAAATAAATCTTTAAAAAGAAAAATACAGAAAACATTCAAAGTGTTAGCATTAAAAGGATTGCAAGCTCTCAGTGTGATTATTAAAATGATCACAAAATCGACCTTATCAGAATTAGTAACTGGATCTATCATTATTACCATTTCATAAAATTAAAATACACAATTTCATACTTTATGCATTTATTGTTGTGGGCATTTGGTGAGCTAACCAGTAGATGGAAGATATCTGGCTCTTTCTGTCTTTCCATCACTTTTTTTTTTTTTTTAAAGATTTATTCATTTGAAACGCACAGTTACAGAGAGGCAGAGGCAGAGAGAGAGAGTGGTCTTCCATCCACCAGTTTGCTCTTCAAATGGTCGCAATGGCTGGAGCTGCACCAATCTGAAGCCAAGAGCCTGGAGTTTCTTCTGGGTCTCCAATGTGGGTGCAGGGGCCCAAGCACTTGGACCATCTTCCACTGCTTTCTCAGACTATAGCAGAGAGCTGAATCAGAAGTGAAGCTGCCGGGACCAGAACCAGCGCCCATTTGAGATGCCAGGACTGCAGGTGGCAGCTTTACCTGTTATGCCAGGGTAAAGCTACCTTTCAAATACATAATAAATTTATCCCAAAATCTGTAATCATTTAAAAGATAATTAGAATGGGGTCACAGGATTTTTAAAGTGCCTATACAGCCTTTCTGATTTTTTATAATGAAAAATACATATTCATAGTGTTAATTTAAAAATGGTCTCATAAAAGTTATAACAGGGGCTGGTGTTGTGGAATAGTGGGTTGGGCCACTGCCTGCAATGCTGGCATCCCATATTGGAGCTCTAGTTTGAGTCCCTGCTGCTCTGCTTCTGATCTAGCTCCCTCTGATGTGCTTGGAAAGACAGCAGAGGATGGCCCAGTTGCTTAGGCCCCTGCCAACCACGTGGGTGACCTGGATGGAGTTCCAGGTTCCTGGCTTTGGTCTGGCCCAGGACCAGCTGTTGTGGCCATTTGGGGAGTGAATGAGGGAACGGAAGATCCTTCTCTCTCTCTGTCACTTCCTCTATCTCTCACTCTGCCTTTCAAACAAAAAATAGAATAAATGTTTCTTCAAAAAGGTATAACAGACTAGGACTTTTTCAAATGCTTTAATCATTTTAGTATTTAATGGCAAATTTTTAAGCAACATGTATCTATTTACTGATTTAATCAATTAGTCATTATCTGTGAACCTCTAACTAACGAAAAATGAGGTTACTCAGCCAGCACTGCAGCTCACTAGGCTAATCCTCCGCCTGCGGCGCCAGCACACCGGGTTCTAGTCCCAGTCAGAGCACCGGATTCTGTCCCGGTTGCTCATCTTCCAGTCTAGCTCTCTGCTGTGGCCCAGGAGTACAGTGGAGGATGGCCCAAGTGCTCATATCTAGGCACTGTTCTTGAACAAAGCAGACAAGATCACTACATTCTAGTGTGGAGAAGAGACAGACAACCAACAAAAACAATAAATACACAAATTACATCATATATCAAAGAGTGGTAGGTTCCAAGAATACAAAAAAGAGTCAAGCAGGCTAAGGAGGATAAACAGTGCAGAGGTGGACTGCGGTACTGAGCAGAGGAGATCTGGGGGCCATGAAGACGGAATCTGGACAAAGGTCTGTGCTCTACTCCTGTCGCCTAGCATACTGACTGTTTCAGGAACATAATATCTATTACGGTTTTTGATATGCTTTCTTCTGGTCACTGATCCTTAGTTACATCCTACTTCCAAGGTTTTATGTCACTACTGCTGTTTGTTTTGTTTGATTCGTTTGAATTATGGGTGTTTTCCCGCCTCAAACGTCTGTTGATCAATCCTTAGCAGTTTGTTCCTTTTTAAAGAGTAAAGAATCAAAAAAAAAAAAACTCTGTGAGTACATATTACTGAGTCATCTGATTTAAAGATGGTCACATCTTGTGTTTGGAAAACACAAATCACCTAAAATTCTAAATAGGCCTGGTCTAGTTTTCCAGGAAAGAATTCTCAAGTTTTCTTTAAAAGAACATGAAATTCTAACAGGGAAAGGTAAAGTGGGTGGTAGAAAGAACAGACCCTATTTCAAATTTCAGTCTAGAGATTTTCACTTAAATCTTTCTTATTTTTAAAGTTTTATTTTATTTTACTTTATTATTTTCTCATTTATTTGAGATGCTGAGTTACAAAGAGAGGGAGAAACAGAGAGAAAGGTTTTCCATTCTCTGGTTCACTCCTCAAATGGCCGAAATGGCTGCAGCGGGGTCAATCCAAGGCTAGGGCCTCCTCTGGGTCTCCTGAGCACAGGGACCCAAGCACTTGGGCCACCTTCCACGGCTTTCCTGGGCCATAAGCAGAGAACTGGATCAGAAGAGGAGCAGTCAGGACACAAATGGGCGCCCATATAGCATGCAGGCACCACAGACAGAGGCTTAGCCTACTACGTCACAGTGCCAACCCTAATCTTTTAAAGATTTATTTAACTGAATGGCAAAGTGACACAGGGAAAAGGAGAGAGAGCGTGAGAGAGATCCGACATCTGCTGATTCATTCCCCAAATGGCCCAACAGTCAGTTCTGTGGCAGAAGTCAGCACACACGTGAAAGGGGCCCAAATAGCTGAGCCCTCTTCTACTGCCTTCCCAGGTGCATTAGCAGGAAGCTGGACTGGAAGTCGATCTATGAGGCATTCAGTTATAGGATGCTAGAATGGAATGTGACACTGGGGCACAAAATCCTTTCCCTGTATGGTACCTTACCCCTACTTTTCCACTGTGCCTGGGAACCCCACGTTCAAACCCTCCATGGCTAATTATTTAATAACTCTGAGTCCAAAGCCTCTGTAGCTTAATTTTTTATAAACCTATTTCTGACCAAAGTGAGGAAGGGATATCACCTGATGGCGAGGAGAAGGGGATCTGGAGTTCTCAATGCTCATCAGAGAGAATTTCAACCCTTTCTGCTATTTTTTAGCATCACTCTCCCCTTTAAGAGGTATCTGCTTCTTTGAAAGGTCAGTGACAGAGAAACAGACATATTTCATCTGCTGGTTCACTTCCCAAATGGCTTCAACAGCCAGGTCTTGGCCGGGCCTCCTGGTGTCCCACACGCATGGCAGTAGCCAAAGCAATTGGGCCATCTGCTGCCTTCTCAGGTGCATTACCAGGAAGTTGCACTGGAGGTAAAACTTCAGAGATTGAATCAGCACTCCCACATGGAATGCAGGCATCTAAGCCCACGCAGTGGCTTAACCCACTGTGCCTAACATCAGCCCCCAGCCCCTTCTTTCACTGCTTGCTTCAAAGGCAGCCAGATGACTCTCCAGGATTCTAAAGCAAAAGTGAGGCGTTTCTCATTACCACTGTGAGTTTTTTTAATCCTGCTGATCTGATTATCACTGATTTGTTAGCTATTTATCATCCAAAACTTAACTACATCTTCCATCAGCTGACGTGTCCTCTTCCATTCACTTTGTCTCTGTCAGTTTATATCTTTAATATTGCTTCATTTTAGTGAGTTAGTGAGTAAGTTCAGAGAGAAACGCATTTGTTGTATCTATTAACTTCTGTTTGTTTTTTTGTTTTTTTATTTTTATTTTTTTGACAGGCAGAGTGAACAGTGAGAGAGAGAGACAGAGAGAAAGGTCATCCTTTGCCGTTGGTTCACCCTCCAATGGCTGCCGCGGCTGGCGTGCTGCGGCCCGCGCACCGCGCTGATCCGATGGCAGGAGCCAGGAGCCAGGTGCTTTTCCTGGTCTCCCATGGGGTGCAGGGCCCAAGCACCTGGGCCATCCTCCACTGCACTCCCTGGCCACAGCAGAGAGCTGGCCTGGAAGAGGGGCAACCGGGACAGAATCCGGCGCCCCAACCGGGACTAGAACCTGGTGTGCCGGCGCCACTAGGCGGAGGATTAGCCTAGTGAGCCGCGGCGCCGGCCCAACTTCTGATTTTTTTAAACAAAACTGAAAATAACAGAACTATAAAACACAATATAAAAAAAAAGGGGGGGGGGGGCGCCTTGGCTCACTTGGTTAATTCTCTGCCTGTGGCGCCGGCAACCCAGGTTCTAATCCTGATTGTGGTGTCGGATTCTGTCCCGGTTGCTCCTCTTCCAGGCCAGCTCTCTGCTGTGGCCCGGGAAGGCAGTGGAGGATGGACCAAGTGCTTGGGCCCCTGCACCCGCATGGGAGACCAGGAACAAGCACCCGGTTCCTGGCTTTGGATTGGCGTAGCACCAGCCATAGCGGCCATTTGTGGGATGAACCAACAGAAGGAAGACCTTTCTCTCTGTCTCTCTCTCTCTCTCACTGTCTAACTCTGTTAAATTAAAAAAACAAAACAAACAAACAAACAAAAAAACCACACGAGAATCACAAAAAAAAACAAAAAATCACAAAAAAAAAACTTAGAATCACAAAAAGAGAAATTCTAGCAAAGACTACAAATATTTGTATATTCTATGATTTACATGATTATTTTTAAAAACAAGTAGGATTAATTAAAAATAGTATGAACTTTTACCTGTAAGATTCCAGAAGGTCCACAACTTCAGTCTGCCCAAAGTGTTTAGCCCAATCTAAAGCCATCCTGTCAAATTCAAAATTATAAAACTAATCACCATTTATTCAGCCATTAGTGACGTGCAAGCACTCATTACACAAGAGCTTTTATTATAAAGACAAATGTAAGAAATCAAAAAAGGCCTGTGCAGCTCTACAAGAACTACACAGAAAGGATGGAAGGTAAGTTTCCAATCACCAGCCATTTGACGCTTTGCTGTGGACGTTGGCTCCCATGCTAATTAACTGCTCCACTTGACTGGTGAAGCCTCGTCCTGCAGCAACCATCAGAGCTGTGGCGCTGGTCTCACTGTGTCTGTAGTCAACTGAAAGAAGGAAAAGGTAAACAGAACTGCTGAATGTCCAAATTCTTAAATTATTAAAACATTTCAGTTTTTATAAAAATTTAAACAGTAAAACTGAATAAAGAATTAACCCAGGACTTGTTCCTTCACTTTTCAATATAGCATTATTTAACTAACCCCTAACTCAGATCATTCAAGCAAATCTGTTATTAATACACCCTCAGTATAAAAAGGATGCAACAGGGGCCGGCGCTGTGGCTCAGTGGGTTAACACCCTGGCCTGAAGCGCCTGCATCCCATATGGGCGCCGGTTCTAGTCCCACTGCTCCTCTTCTGATCCAGCTCTCTTCTATGGCCTGGGAAAGCAGTAGAAGATGGCCCAAGTCCTTGGGTCCCTGCACCCATATGTGAGACCTGGAAGAAGCTCCTGGCTTCTGACTTTGGATCGGCACAACTCCGGCCGTTGCAGCCATCTGGGGAGTGAACCAGAGGATGGAAGACCTCTCTCTCTGTCTCTACCTCTCTCTGTCACTCTGCCTATCAAATAAATAAGATACATCTTTAAAAAAAAAAAAAAAAAAGGATGCAACAGAAACTGTTAGCTGCAAGGCAGAAGAAAAAAACAAAAGGTTGTTTAAATGGAAAAGGAAAGATATTAACTCACAGAATCCTTAAGAGTCCTTCTAAATTTAAATGTCATCTTGATCACCAAGTGACAATACATAGAGAATTAAAAATTTAATTTTATGAATAATTAGTAATGAATCCTTCAAAACTTACAAAGCAAAGTTTGAGATAATTTTGTTGTTTTTTTTTACTTTTAATCTTCCACTATTCCAGGCTATATTTTCCAAAATGCTTAATTAGACTACCTTCTTCTCAGAGAGGACTTTTATAATCACCGGACTAAAACTGAAACTTTTTCATTATTTCTGCTTATCCTGCTGTTATTTATAAACTCATACTTTCATTATCTGTCATCATACTTTTTTTAAAGCTTATTTTCATCTTATTTGGAAGGCAGAATAAGAGAGAGAGAGAAAGATCTCCCATTCACTGGTTCACTCCCCAAATGCCTCCAACAGTCAGGGACAGGACAGGCCAATGCCAAGAGCCCAGAACTCACACCAGGTTTTCCCACATAGGTGGCAGAGACCCAAGTATTTGGGCCACCTTCCACTGTTTTCCCAGGAACATCAGCAAGGAGCTGGTTTGGAAGTGCAGCAGCCAAGACTCAAACCAATACTCCAGCATGGGATTCCACATAGCAAGCAGCAGCTTAACCCACTGCACCACATCACCATTTTCCCAGTAACATTTTTGAAAGATCAATCTGATTGTTCTATGGAGAACAGACAACAATAACATAAAAACAGAAGCAGTTAAAGGACTGCTACTGTAGACCAAAAGAAGAATTGGGCTTTGCCTAGGATGGCAGCAGGAGAGTGAAATGTAGTCAGATTCAGCATTTATTTTAGAGAGTGAAGCCATCAGGATTTGCACATGAATTTTATGTAGAGTGTGAAAGCCAAGTCAAAGATGAGTAAATGTACGCTCCAGTGCTTTAACAACTTACTGAAAAGGGAAACACAAAAGGAAAAGTAATTGAAGGAGGTTAGTGTGGAGGGGATCAAAAATTGTTTGGGACATATCCAACTTTATTACCCTAACAGGCATTAAAGGCAATGCGGATGTCAGGACTGGAGAGAGGAATTAGGGTCATTAAAGACAGATACATATAGGACAGGTATTTGGCTCAGCAGTTAAGACACTGCCTGAAATGCCCACATCTCCTGGATTCAACTCCTAGCACCATCTCTAGATTGCAGCTTTCTGCTAATGTACAGAAGGCAGCAGGTAAGGATGGTTCAAGCACTTGGATCCTTGAACCCACACAGAATACTAGGATTGAGTGCCTGTCTCCTGGCTTTGGCCTGCCCCAGCCCTAACTGCTACAGGCATCTGGGGAGAGAATAAGTACAAGATCTCTGTCTCTGTTTCGGTCTGTCTGCCTCTCTCTCTCTCTCTCTCTCTCTGCCTTTCAAACAAATAAATAAATAATAAAACTAAGATAGATATTTAAAGAAATGAGTAGGTGAGATATATAGGTAGTAAGTAAATATATAGAAATAAAGCCAAGGATTTCATATTTAAAAGTCAGAAAAAAAAAAGAAAAGAAAAACAGAAGCCTCCTGCAAAGGAAACCAAAAATTAGAGCCAGGGAAATGAAAAGAAAATAAGCCAAGGGTGGAATATCATTAAGTCGACTGAACAGAATGTTTGTAGAAGGAGTGATCAACAAAGCTATAGTGATATGAACGCTGAAGGGTCTACGTGAGGAAACAGACTAACTGACATCTAAATCCCTTTCCAGAACTGACTTCCTGCCTTCTGCACAGAAGCCTCAGGATTCTCACTTACCTCTGGTTGCCAATATCTACCTTAATCAACTACTAAAATCAGGGCAACTCATCAGTGAAAACACAATACATGGCATAAAATATATACAAGTGAAGGAGAACTTGGGCCCATAGAACAAAAGATGTACCATAATTTTTCATTTACTAAATTAATAATCTAGAACAAAGGTTATTAACCACTTATTCTTCCTTTTTTTGAAATAATAAATTTTGAGAATCCAAGAGACAATTTCCCTCAAGGGGACCAGAACATATGTATATACACAACACATATACATAAAAGCATTCTTGCAAAAAACGGTCATGTATTTATATACCACATGTATATACTCTGGAGATACTTGGCTACAAACCCCTGATTTAATACAGTATCTACTCTACTATGGTATCTACAAGATTTGTTTGCTCATATGAAATAAATCATCTAAAAGAATAAATTATTGTTATGTACAAAAAATACAGTACATATATCTTGCATTAAACTATACTTCTTCCATGAAGAATTAAAACAGCAATAAAAGAAATTAAATAAACTCACCACTAACATTTTCTGTTAAAATAAGGTGAAAAACCTGAGCAAAAGCATCAATATCTTTATGTAGCCATATATCAGAAAGACAGGCATCCATTTCCTTTATTAACCATGGCTCAAGGCAATTCACATCTTTTTCTGTCTTTAAAAAAAAAAAAGCAGTGATTATAAATTACCTCACAGCTTAACACTGGCATTCAAAGAATGTTCAATGGCCACAAGAGCTACTCACCAAATAATATTATAGCATTTAAAGTTTCGACACAGAAGTTTCTCGTTTCATCACAAACATTATCATTCACAATACTACATCCTGTCCTTACACTCATCCTTTAGGTGAGAATGAGCTTGTCAACAAAGGACTATGACCTGGTCACAATACTAACTGTGCTTCACATAGATGTGTTTCTGATAGTGTGGGGAGCAAACCTGGACTGGACTGAGTTACTGGAATTAAGACTTATTCTATGCATCTGCTCTCCCACAATATGGCGCTGGGAGAGGAGAAAACAGCTTCTACGCAGCTGCCTCCAGTTCAACCAATAAACTGTAGGACCTACTCCTGATTGGAGGAGAGCAGCGTACTCGGCGTGTGGGCAGCCGAGTTGGGATTGGCAGAAGAGGACTATAAGGGAGGAGAGAGACGGCATGCACCAGGAACATCTAAGGGGAGCATCTAAGGGGAACATCTAGCTGAAGGAACACCTGTGCAGCCCCCGAGAGAGCCGGCCGGCGGTGTGCCGCTCCCCTGCGGAAGTGGGGAATGTGGCCAGGGGGAACTGCCCTTCCACGGAGGTGGAAGGGATAGTAGCCAACCCGGGAAGAACCAGCAGCAAACCCGGGGAGGGCCGAGCAGACGAAAGAACAGCGCAGGGTCCTGTGTCGTTCCTCCACGAAGAGGGGGAGCGACATAATGGTGCCGTGACTCGGATATGAAGCCTAGGCAGGGTTCAGTGTCGTTCCTCCACGAAGAGGGGGAGCGACATAATGGTGCCGTGACTCGGATATGAAGCCTAGGCAGGGCTTAGTGTCGTTCCTCCACGAAGAGGGGGAGCGACAGATAGATGTTGCTAAATGGACCAAACACACCACTGGTTCTCTCTTCCAACTGGACATCAGAGGAAGCATCATCTAGACCTTTTAAAAACGGATGGTAGGCCCCAGCTCAGAATCTCTGGTGCTGGGGGCCCAGATCGCACAGGGCTTATAAAGCTCCTCGGGTGATCTAATGTGCAGCCGTGCTTAAGAACCACTGATTTATATGACAGAATGCTATTCACTGACCCAGTGGGTCTTCCTCATACTAAATATACCTTTTAGACATTCTTTAGAAGTATTTTCTAAAGCACTTACATAACTCATTTGTTGCAACAGAACTGTTAAAAACTGTTAACAGACTACAAGCATCTCTGCATTAAGTTCCTTTCCACAGAGTCATAAAATTATTTTCCAAAACATAGAAAAGTTGCTCTGGAAAAATCTGTTGTAGCCTAGGATAATCTAAAAGAATTACCCTTCAATTACGAAATAAAGAATTGTAATCTCATAAAATGTTCTTTAATCTATACAATTTTCACTCAAAGTATCAGCGTGAAGCCAGTGAGGTCTTACCAGCTGGCTAAAGGCAGCATCACCACCATCATCCAATAAATCATACTCCTCAGTCACATTTGGAACAGTTCTCTGCCTCTGAGACTCAGGCTTGAGAGTATTCTCTTGAGCCGAATACCATTCGGTAAGTGTGGTCTGTTGTTTCTCTTCTAAATTAATCGCCAAAGAAAGAAATAAGTGTATCAGTTCTTTCCTTTTTGAAAAGTATTCCCTTATTTTCAAAAATTAAAGTGAATCTTTAAGTTGGCCTTATTCTGCTGTTACTTTTTTAAAAATACATTGAGAATATTCAATAAAATATACTATGCTGAACCATAAGGACACATGAAATTGTCCCTTAATTCATCCTGAAGTAAGGAGTGACTTCTAAGAAGCCCAGAATTAAAAGTAATCTTTATCTGTATTGTTGAAATCAAGTACTAACGTTCATATATCACTTTGTGGAAAACCATTTATTGAACTTCTACCACAATGCCAGTTGTCTGAGATACAACAATTATATGCAATTTTCATCTTCAAAAGTTTCAAGATCTAAGATTTCACAATTTCCACATCAGAGACTCCACACTAGCCAGTGAAATATGCATTGCTAATTATATTTTTCAAGCGAAGGATCCAAATAATTATTTATTTGTGGAAGGTCATATAGAGGAAACAAAAGAATCAAAACATCTTTTGTGATAAATAATGAAGCTCAAGGTAAGTAAAAGAAATGTAAGCCCTAATTTAAAAGCTGAGATACAGGGGCTGGTGCTTTGGCCTAGTGGGCTAAGCCTCTGCCAGTGGCACCCGTATCCCATATGGGCGCCAGCTCATGTCCCAACTGTTCCTCTTCCAATGCAGCTCTTTGCTATGGTCTGGGAAATCAGTAAAGATGGCCCAAATGTTTGGGCCCTCGCACCCATGTGAGAGATCTGGAGGAATCTCCTGGCTCCTGGCTTCGGACTGGCTCATCTCTGGCTGTTGCAGCCATCTAGGGAGTGAACCAGCAGATGGAAGACCTTTCTCTCTGTCTGTAACTCTACCTCTCAAATAAATAAATAAAATCTTTAAATATGAATAAATAAATAAAAGCTGAGACACAGGATAAGCCAATAAAAGACATTTTAAATAATGACACTCTCAAAGTACAGATGCAGGGAGTTAAGACACCAGTTAAAACACCTATGTCCCATATTGGAGTGCCCAAATTCAATGGCCAGTCCAGCTGCTGATTCCAGCTTCCGGCCAGTGGTCTTTGGGAGGCAGCAGGTGATGTCTCTTGTAGCTGGATTCCCACCACTCCCACAGGAAGCCTGTTTAGCATTCCCAACTCTCAGTTTTCAGTTTGGGCCACCCCTCATACCCCACCCCACTCCCACCACTGCAGGCATCTGGCAAGTGAATTAAAAAATAAAGTACACATGTAATCCTCTAACAAAACCAGGATTTAGAAACCTTGACATTTCTACAAAAGATAAGGCTGTCACTGCTCACATGCTACTCTTTTACTTCCTCCAATCTACTTCCCTTAAAATGCTGGTTCCACCTCTGGGTGCAGACACTCAAATCTTCAATTCTGGCAACCTCTTGCAGTTCTTCTCATACATTGTAACTTCTGGACATAAACCAGAATGCCAGGGTACATCTGGGACATTATAATAATTATACACAAGAAAAAATATACTTCTACCTCCATAATTTAATATTCCAAATACTACAAAAAGTCACTATCAATAGAAATTTCTTTTGTATTTGAGTAAAATTCTTACCTCGCTGCTTTTCCTTTTTGTACTTTAACATTTCCTTGTTTGTATATCCAGTAGTTCTTAAGATATCTTCCAGAAACATTTCTTTCACTTCAAATGGTCTTCCCTGTACTAAATAATAGAAAGTTTACTTGTATCAAGATAATTTACATAAAGACAAGAACCCAAGCTCATGAACCTAAGTATACCAAAAAAAGTTCTAAAATTTAAGATTTTCATACCATACGTTAAAAATATAACTTTTGGGGCCAGGGCTGTGTCTTAGTGGGTAAAGCCACTGCCTGCAGTGCCAGTATCCCATGTGAGCACCAGTTTGAGTCCCGGCTACTCCACTTTCAATCAAGCTCCCTGCTAATATGCCTGGAAAAGCAGCAGAAGATGGCCCAAGTCCTTGGGCCCCTACACCTACATGTGAGACCTGGAGGAAGTTCCTGGTTCCTGGATTCATATCAGTCCAGCTCTGGCCGTTGCAGCCATTTGGTGAGGGAGCCAGTGGATGGAAGATCTCTCTCTCTGCCTCTACCTCTCTGTAACTCTGCCTTTCAAAGGAAAGAATAAATCTTTAAAATATATATATATATATATGTATGTATATATGTTTGTGTGTGTATATATGTGTGTTTGTGTGTGTATATATACATATATATGTATGTAACTACTTTGGGGGCCACAACTGTGGCAATGGTTAAGCCACTGCCTGCAACACCTGTATCCCATGAGCACTGGTTCAAGTCCTGGTTCACTTCAGATTCAGCTCCCTGCTAAAGCGCTTAGGAAAGCAGCAGAAGATGGCACAAGTGCTTGTGGCCCTGTCACTCCGGAGGGAGACCTGGATGGAGTTCCAGGCTCCTGGCTTCGTTGCAATCAAATGGGGACTGAGCCTCCGGATGGCAGATTTCCCTCTCTGTGTGTCTCTCCCTCCTCAGTAACTCTGCCTTTCAAATAAAATAATTTTTAAATATGTATATATATATATGTAACTTTGACTTACAAATAATTATAACAGACAACTGTTAACAGATAACTGTCTGTTATTTAAGACAATGATTAATTTTCTTGGTTATTTTCCAGTATGTATTATCTTCTTATACAGCGTGTATTATCTACTTATGGCATCACGTTGGGCACCAAGAATACAAATGTTAAGTAGAAACAGAGCTACCTCCTGCCTGCTTTACAGTAAATGAACAAAAAAGACAAACATTAATTCAACAATCAAGAATATAAATAAAAATTAGAATTTCAAAATGTTCTATGAGAGAGTTCTATAGAGAAAAATATTAGGTAGTATATAATAGTGGGACTTCACCACATCAAGAGAAGGGGATGGGGGCCGGAGCTGTGGCATAGCAGGTAAAGCCATTGTCTACAGTGCCAGCATCCCATATGGGCACCACTTCGTATTCCGACTGCTCCACTTCCGATCCAGCTCTCTACTATGGCCTGGGAAAGCAGAAGATGGCCCAAGTCCTTGGGCCCCTTCACCCGCGTGGGAGACCCAGAAGAAGCTCCTGGCTCCTGGCTTCGGATTGGCTCAGCTCCGGCCGTTGCGGCCAACTGAGAATGAACCAGCGATGGAAGATTTCTCTCTCTCTCTGCCTCTCCTTCTCTCTCTGTGTAACTCTTTCAAGTAAATAAATAAATATTTTTAAAAAGAGAGAGAGAGAAGGGGATAGGAGCTAGTGTTGAGGCACAGCAGGTTAAGTCTCTGCTTGAAATGCCAGCATCCCAAATCAGATTGCCAGTTGTCTTACTAAGGGTTTAGGTCTCTCCTGAAATAAAGGCCAAAGAATTAAACTCAGGAGAATCTCAGCACCACCAGAATTCCACTTTGGAAAAGGCCGCCGCTACAATGTAACGGATACTACAGACAGGAGAAGGGGTGCATCTGACCAGGGAGGAAGCAGTGCAATAGTTCAGGTGAAAAAGGACAACAACTTGTATGAGATTCTGCAGACTGTGTAGGTCTACAGGAACCCAGGTAACACTTGTGTCCCTGTCAGCCCCGTGACCTATTTCTAGAACTTACAGTCACAGCGTGCAGGGGCTCTGCTCTCCGCATAGTGCTTAAATATTGATGTGTTCTAGAATTATTCCCTTGATCCATTTCCTTTTTTATATCCCCTCCCCCCTTTTTAAGGGGGGGTATTATTTTATTTGTTAGGCAGAGTGACAGTGAAAGAGGGAGAGAGAGAGTTACAGTAAAAGCAGAAAACAGGCAGATACACAAAGACAGGAGGTAAAATCCACAGAATTTACCATCGTATTAAATAAGAAAGGAAAAAAAAGGGTGTTTTCTTTTTTTTTTTTTTTTTGACAGGCAGAATGGACAGTGAGAGAGAGACAGAGAGAAAGCTCTTCCTTTGCCGTTGGTTCACCCTCCAATGGCCGCCCCAGCCAGCGTGCTGCGGCTGGCACACCGCACTGATCCAAAGGCAGGAGCCAGGTACTTCTCCTGGTCTCCCATGGGGTGCAGGGCCCAAGCACTTGGGCCATCCTCCACTGCACTCTCTGGCCACAGCAGAGAGCTGGCCTGGAAGAGGGGCAACCGGGACAGAATCCAGTGCCCCGACCGGGACTAGAACCCCGGGGTGCCGGCGCTGCAAGGCGGAGGATTAGCCTAGTGAGCCGCGGCGCCGGCCAAGAAGGGTAAGTTTTACAGTTCTCGTTGTAAGGCTTGCAAACACTGAAGGATGATGATGTCATTCTCTGAGGTAACAAGGACAGCTGAAAAGAACAGGCCAGCTGGCAGGAGCTGGAGTTTGGTTTCAGGCATCAAAGTGAGGTGCCAAAACAGACTCAACTAGGGGTCAATTAGATTTTATGTGCCTAATCATTCAAGAACACTGTTGGGAGAAATAAAGAACATACAGGTTTGTGACTTCAGTGATTAGGTTAGTATTACATAGTACGGCTAAGCAAAACAGGCAACACACCAAAAGAAGCAAATTTTGTAGAAAAGATCATTCCATTTGGGTCATATTAGAAGTGAACTGCTTGTATCTAAATCCGAAACTGCAGAGAACGGTATGAATTGGAAATGAAGATTCAGAAGTTACAAACATGAAAGAAGAAGTAGAAGCCAAGGCCATGAATGGAAGCTTCCAAGGAAGTAGAGTAATAACTAATTAATTAATTAAGGAAAGGAGGGAGAGAGAGAACAGGAATGAAGAAAGCTAATGGGGGTGTGCACTGTGGGACATTGGGTTAAGCTGCCACTGGGGACACCCACATCCCATATCAGAGTACCTTCCAAGTCCCAGCTCCTCTGCTTAGGATCCGTTTTCTGCTAACGTGCCTGAAAAGGCAATGAATGATGGCCCAAATGTTTGGGTTCCTGACACCCACTTGGGAAACCAAGATAAAGTTCTTGGGTCCTAGTTTCAGCCCCAGCAGTTATAGGCATCTGGGGAGTAAACCAGACAGAAGAACTCTCTCTCTCTCTCCCTCTTTCACTGTCACTCTGCCTAACAAATAAAATAATACCCCCCCTTAAAAAGGGGGGAGGGGATATAAAAAAGGAAATGGATCAAGGGAATAATTCTAGAACACATCAATATTTAAGCACTGTGCGGAGAGCAGAGCCCCTGCACCCTGTGACTGTACGTTCTAGAAATAGGTCACGGGGCTGACAGGGACACAAGTGTTACCTGGGTTCCTGTAGACCTGCACAGTCTGCAGAATCTCAAGAGTTCCCTGCGTGCTGGGGACAGGTCGGCAGAAGGCTCGGGGAACACAAAACGAGGTGGATCAGTGTTCAGTACGTACGTGCGCTTGGTGGGTGGAGTGCACCGGCTCTGTAAGTCCACTCTAAGCAGTGACCACTCTAGCAGGTTCACCTTGGAAAGGGCTGGGATCTGAACACACTAGCCAGCTCTAACACCCCCTGGTGCCACAGACTGGACAGAGGCACTCCACCATGCCCAACATAGGTGTCACCCACAAACAGTGGCCAGAGCTCCCTGGCTCTACTCAGCACACACAGGAAAAAATGCTTAGGGTCAGTAGCCGCTAGAGAAATGCAAATAAAAACCACAATGTAGTATCACCTCACTGCAGGTGGAATGGGTATCATCCAAAAAATCAAAAAATAACAAATGCTGGCAAGGATATGGAGAAAAAGGTACCCTAATCAGTGTTGATGTGAATGCAAACTGGTACAACCAGTATGGAAGACAGTACAGAGAGTCCTCAGAAAACTAAAATAGAACTACCATATGACCCAGCCATCCCACTCCTGGAAATATCAAAAAGAAATAAAATCAGCATATGAAAGAGATACCTGCACTCCCATGTTTATAACAGCTCAATTCATGATAGCTAAGATATGAAACCAACCTAGATGTCCATCAACTGATCTTGACTGCATCAAGAAAATGCAGAATTGGCCGGCGCCACGGCTCACTTGGCTAATCCTCCATCTGTGGCGCCGGCACCCTGGGTTCTAGTCCTGGTTGGGGTGCCAGATTCTGTCCCGGTTGCTCCTCTTCCAGTCCAGCTCTCTGCTGTGGCCCGGAAAGGCAGTGGAGGATGGCCCAGGTGCTCGGACCCTGCACCCGCATGGGAGACCAGGAGGAAACACCTGGCTCCTGGCTTTGGATCAGCACGGTGCGCTGGCCGCAGCACGCTGGCTATAGCGGTTGTCGCTCCCCCATTCACGGAGGAACGACACAGGACCCTGCGCTGTTCTTTTGTCTGCTCGGCCCTTCCCGGGTTTGCTGCTGGTCCTTCCCGGGTTGGCTGCCGACCCCTCCACCTCTGTGGAGGGGCGGCACCCCCTGCCACTTTCCCCGCTTCCGCGGAGGAGCCGCACACCGCCAGCCGGCTCTCTCGGGGGCTGCTCAGGTGTTCCTTCAGATGTTTCCCGGTGCATGTTGTCTCTCTCCTCCTTTATAGTCCTCTTCCACCAATCCCAACTCTGCTACCCACACGCCAAGCACACTGCTCTCCTCCAATCAGGAGCAGGATCAGCTCCTGCAGCTTATCAGTCAAATTGGCGAGAGGCAGCTGCATAGAAGTTTACTCCTCCCCAGCGCCATATTGTGGGAGAGCAGATGCATAGAATAAGTCTTAATTCCAGTAACTTAGTCTAGTCTCAATTGCTCCCCACAGCGGTCATTTGGGGGGTGAACCATTGGAAAAAATGGAAGACCTTTCTCTCTGTCTCTCTCTCTCCCTAACTCTGCCTGTCAAAAAAAAAATACAGAATATATTCCTGATAGAATATTATTCAGCCATAAAACAGAATGAATGACATTTGCAACAAAATGGATACAACTGGAGATTATAATGTTAACTGAAGTAAAACAGACCCAAAAAGAAAAATATCACATTTTGTCTTATGTGCTATAGTAAATACATATAGATATACTACCATAGTTTCAATGATCTATAATTATTTTAAAATTTACTACATGAGCAAAATGAACATTTTTTTCTTCTCATTACTTTTATAGCGCTTGCCTATATTGCTGCTGAAGTATGGTCTTTTCACTTTAACTCTTTATTGAGTGCAGCAGGAGGCTTTTGAGTATAATATAAATTAAAAATGTAATCTCAAAATTTAAAGCAGGAAGGAAAGAAGGGAGGAAGAAAAGAGAGAGAGGTAGAGAGGAAGGAAGGAGGGAGGAAGGAAGGAGGAAGGAAGGAGGAAGGAAGGAGGGAGGGGAGGGGAGGGAGGAAGGGAGGGAGGGAGGAAAAAAGAGGCAGGCAGGTAGGGAAGTGAAGCATCATTATATTCCTAGAATTTTATCTATGAACTACAATGAATGTATTCTCTTTTATTAATACCACTTTAACATGAGAATTATAGTATAATTATCATGCATTTGCTGTGACCCTGAGAATCTAACGTAGTAATAAATTATTTTTCCTTTTTTTTTGTACACTTGTGATTTTTTTAAGATTTTTTTTTATTTGAAAGGTAGAAAGGGAGGGAGGGGAAAAAGGAGGGAGGGATGTGGGGGGGGGAGAGAGAAAGAGAGAGAGAGAGATAGGTCGAGATCTGTGCTGGTTAAAAAGGAATAACAAGTACAGGTTATAACACAGAGTAAGACTCAGGAGGCATTGCTACCAAATAAATGAAGGGATCTGAGCATTTCACACAAAAAGGAGGGCCAACCATGAAATACCACAGACAACTCAACAAGATTTTTTTGAATGTATCAGTTTTGGCCACCAAAACAATGTCAAACACTGCCGGTAAGAATTCACTGGTTAAGGCGTTTGTTGTGGAGAAGCTGAGCTGCTACTCGGGACAGCTTTCCGTCACACTGGAGGGCTGATCTGAATCCCAGCTACTGTGTTTTCAACCCAGCTCCCTGCTAACGCACCTGGCAAGCAGAAGAAGGTCAGGTACTTGAGTTCCTGCTATACACCTGGAAAGCCCAGATGGAATTCCTGACTCCTGACTCTGGCCAGGACCAGCCCTGGCTGTTGCAATCATTCAGGGAGTGAACCAGCACAGATCTCGACCTATCTCTCTCTCTCTTTCTCTTTCTCTTTCTCTCTTTCTCTCTCTCTCTCTCTTTCTCTTTCTCTTTCTCTTTCTCTCTCTCTTTCTCTCTCTCTCTCTCTCCCCCCCCACATCCCTACCTCCCTTTTCCCCTCCCTCCCTTTCTACCTTTCAAATAAAAAAAAATAAAAAAATTCACAAGTGTGCAAAAAAAATGGAAAAATCTATTAACATAAAAATATTTCTTTAGTCGGCAATTTCACTTCTAGTAATCACCCCTAGAAATAAGAGAATATATGGATATTTGTGTTCATTACAATACTGTTTATAGTTGGGGGGGGGGGTCTAGATTCAATCTGAATGTCCAAAAGAAAGAGTTAAGTAAATCATAGTACATACATTCTCTGAAATACTAAAAGCACTGCTTAAAATGATTAACTAGATCCAGCTACTGGAGAACTGTTTATGATGCACTGTTATACAAATAAAGCAAACTGCAATGTATTATGTATATGCTCATTTTTGTAAAGTCGGTTTTTACAAACCACATATATGTTTGTATGAGCATGAACAAGATAAGAAAGGAGATAAACAATGTTTTTAATATCGTTAGTATGGGGGGGAGGGGCCCGGCGCTGTAGTGTAGTGGGTGAGGCCGCTGCCTGCAGTGCTGGCATCCCATATGGGCACTGGTTCGAGTTGCGGCTGTTCTACTTTCAACCCAGTTCTCTGTGATGGCCTGGGAAAGCCGTGAAAGATGACCCAAGTCCTTGGCCCTCTGCACCTACACGAGAGACCCAGAAGAGGCTCCTGGCTCCTAGCTTCGGATCGGCTCAGCTCTGGCCATTGCGGCCATCTGGGGAGTGAACCAGTGGATGAAAGACCTCTCTCTCTCTCTCTGTGTAACTCTGACTTTCAAATAAATAAATGATTCTTTTTTAAAAAAATCCTTAATATTGGGAAAATAGAACACAGAACAAAATGACGATAGGGACAACCATGAACTTTTTCCCTATAAACATCTATCTTTGTACAAATTTTGTTTCACTGAAGTAAACACAACTTAATAATTTTCAAAAAGTTATTTCAAATATAAGGATTGATGGTAAAATCAGTTTTTATTAAAGGACAAAGAGAAAATTTAAGTCTCAGCATATTCAGAAGTGAAAATTAAGTAAATATGGGAACACAGAACAATTTTCCAAGGAATCTAACAATAATAGGAAGAAGTGACAAGAGGAACACAGATCAAAATAAAAGCACATTTACTTCTAAGATTAGAGAATTAGGCTCCAACACAATACCAGAGGGCTATAAATGGAAAAGGAGAAGTTGAAAACAGGGAGATCGACCATGAAATCTATCTCAGAATAAGCAGACATGGATGCCCTGTACTTGAGAACATTCCCCAATTTTTGAATGAAATAAATAAAATCATAACCCAAATTACTCTTTCATAAAAGTTATAAAAATTTTATAATTTGATAACTTACTATATATCACTGGACAACTCCCAAAATATCTTATAAAGAGATTTACATCCAAGGCAGCACTAGAAAGAATTAGTTTCAAAGATGGGTGCTTTTGCAACAAATCTCTTAACTTCGTAAGTAAAAAATCACTAAATCGATCCCTTTCGTGCACTTCATCCTGCAGTAAACAGAAATAAAACCATGGAACAGTTAAAATATTATGGACGACTAAGTCTTTAAAATGCCATTGCTAGGTTTTATATTAATTTAAGCTAAATGTGGACAAGGCCTATCAATATTAGTGAAAAGCTTGTAGATGAAATTAGGGACAATTCAGAAATAATCATACATTATAACAATCCACCACGGATGAAAAAATACTGCCTTCCCCCTCCCCCCCCCACAGAATATAAAACCTCTATAATAAGTTCTAGATTAGTGGAAGTCCAAATTGATGTACTTTCAATGTAAACAAACTCAAGTAAAATAGGCTTCTGTTAGCATTAGTGCTTAAAAGCAACCTTTGGTTTGGGTAAGTTTCTAACAGTTGCTTATTGTAAGCTTATAAAACAATGTTTCTCTTATAGAAAACTGCACAGAAGCTTTGAATTCTTTAATAAGAGGGCAATTCAGCTACTTATTTCATCAGCTGTTAATTAAGCAGCTTAATCATGAACTTAAATGACAAGAGTATAGCAGTGCAATGGGGAAATACATGGTGTGGGAGGACAAGGTGAGTAGGCATAGAGGTAAAACTTCCACATTTCAGGAAAACTCTAAGTACATGAATCATGCTCACATGAAAAGCACATTTTTTAAAACTACCTAAGCATTTGATTTCCTTCAAATAAAACCTGGTGGTAAGAATATCTTTAATATAAAAGTTATATCCAATAATTTTACACAACAAAAATAACTTGATCAAAACAGCCTGTTCATAAGAATAAACTGATTTTTATTTTTACCCTATTCTAAAAGTATAATTATATATTTAAATCTTAAGCAATCTGAGTTATATATGATAAAGTCTCAATATCCTTACCACAATAACATGTGTCACCGTTGACAATGTACTATCTCCTGCCATCAGTGTACGAAGCAATACCCCATTAGTGCAAAATGTCAGAAGTGTCTTTGGTGAAACCCTTTTAAAGAAATAAAAGTGCACAATTATACATCTTACACATCTTTTATGTACTTAAAATATAATCACATTAAATGCTGGTCTTGTATATACTCTAATAAATTAGACAAATATATTAGTATGTATAGCTTATTAAAGTTTTGTGAAATACAAAGGATCTTCAAAAAGTTCATGAAAAATGTGTATCACAAAAAAATGGGGATGGATTTCAAGTTTTTTGGGTCAAAATAAACTTCTTTATATTTCATTTTCTACAAACTTTTCAAGTACTCTCATGTATTTCATGTCTTAGAACTTTACAAAGTTACTGATACCAACTTTTTATTAGTTGATATATCTAGTTAAAGATCTTAAATGGGTTTGTAATAAAAAAAACTAAAACAGTTTTTGCTTGGGTAAAAAACACATCTCAAAAGGAACCAGTTTTTAAATCATTATTCAGATCAGAGAACTACCAATACATGTCAAGAAGATAATACTAGTATTACTCTAGGTTGGGTATTCCTAACCCAAAAATCTAACACCTGAAATGCTCCAAAAAGCTGAAACTTTCCAGAGCGTTCTGGACTAGGCCTGTTTAATTGGTAGTGCTTATGACAGCATTCTGAAACCTAAAAATCCCCAACATCTGAAATTCTTCTGGTCCCAAGCACTGTGGCTTAGGGATACTCAACCTGCACTAATGATACTAAATTCAGCCACTAGCATTTGCTGAGTGATTACTATTAACATCATCACATCAGACCTGCACTCTAGATGCTTTTATCAGCCTCATTTTATGGAGGAGGAACTGAGGCTCAGTGAAGTAACTTGCACTTAGTATGAAACTACGATATGCGATCAATGTAAGTCTCTGTGCTATAAGTCGCTTTCAGATTATTTACTCAAACCTGCACTGAGTTTAGACATGACATCCTGACAGTGACTGCTGGCAGCAAAATGATTACCTCACATTTCAAATAACACACCATCTATTTTTAAATAAAAGAGAACATGGCCTTTTCTAAGTAGGACGAAATACAGGATAGAGGAGGACTGTCTTTACCTGCTTTCTAGTCGGATCTGATAACCAATCGTTTGACCAATCCTTTCCCTTCTCTCTGCAGCAACTCTTTCGGCCACAGCAATTGCTGCTAACCGTCGTGGCTGAGTACAAAATATACGGCAGGGGATACCATTTTTAAAGCAATCATCTAAAAGAAACTGAGGAATCTGAAATGAAAGTTTTAAAATACTCAGAAAAATCCAAGTGAATCAACTGAAAACCATTGCAGCCAAAAAAATTCTGTAACACGTCCAAATGTAAACAATCAAAAAATCAGCAACTTCTGTGTAGCTGGCAATATTCACACAGAAAATGTAGTTTTAAAAGATCCTGTTCATAATAAAAACTAAAATATTTCAAATCAAACTTATCAAGAAATATATAAGTTCTATATGAAGATTACAAAATGCCATTGAAAAATGTAAAAGAACATTTGAATATATAAAGAAACATGTCATACTTTTGGATAGCAATAATTAGTAATAATTAATTCTCCCCAAATTATTCTATAAAGTCGATAAAATGGCAATACAAATTCCATTGATAGGCCAGCATTGTGGCACAGAGGTAAAGTCACCACCTATGACACTGGCATCCCGTATGGGCATGCTCAAGTCCCAGTTGCTCTACTTCCAATCCTGCTCCCCACCAATATGCCTGGGAAAGCAACAGGAGATGGCCCAATTGTTTGGGCCCTGGCACCCACAAGGGAAAGCCAGAAAAAATTCCTGGCTCCTGGCTTCAGCCTGGCCCAGCCCCAGCGTTATGGCCATTTGGGGAGTGAACCACCAGATGGAAGATTGATCTCTCTCTCTCTCTCTCTGTGTCTCTCTCTCTCTCTAACTCTGCCTTTGAAACAAATAAATCTCAAAAAAAATTTTTTTAAATAGTGAAAAGCATAAAGAAAACAGAAATAGCCTACAATTACTCAATTACAAATACTTTTCTATACATAAAACCCAAACAGATCAGAAAAAATTTTAACTACAAAGTAAAAGTTTTATCCATCATCCTCACCACCAATACCCATCATCTTCTCTTAAGAGTCACTACTTTAGGGACGGTGCTGTGGTGTGATAGGGTAAGCCTCTGCCTGTGGCACCGCCATCCCATATGGGCACAGGTTTGAGTCTCGGCTGCTCCTTTTCCCATTCAGGTCTCTGCTATGGCCTAGGAAAGTGCTGGCCCCTGCACCCACATGGGAGGACCTGAGGAAGCTCCTGGTTCCTGGCTTTGGATCAGCTCAGCTCCAGCCGTTGTGGCCATCTGGGGAAGAGATGGAAGACCTTTCTCTCCATCTCTGTTTCTCTCTGTGGCTCTACCTCTCAAATAAATAAAATCTTTTTTAAAAAAAGTCACTACTTATAAGTTTCCTATTAATTCTTTCAAGAAAAGTGTGTACAATTAAGAATATTTGTGTATAGAAACACGTTATTTAGGGGCCAGTGCTGTGGCATAATACGCAAAAGCCTCCATCTGTGGCACCAGCATCCCATATGGGCACTGGTTCAAGTACCGGCTGCCTCTCTTCTGAACCCAGCTCTCTGCTAGTGGCCTGGGAAAGAAGTACAAGATGGACCAAGTGCTTGGGCCCCTGTACCTGTGTGGGAGACCTGGAAGAAGCCCCTGGCTCCAGATCAGCACAGCTCTGGCCATTGTGGTAACTTGAGGAATGAACCAGTGGATGGAAGACCTTTCCCTCTGTCTCTCCCTCTGTCTGTTTGTAACTCCATCTCTCAAAAAAATACAATAAAATCTTTGGGGCTGGTACAATGGCATAGCAGGTAAAGCCACCATCTATGGTTCCAGCAACCCATATGGGTGCTTGTTTGAATACCAGCTGCTCCACATCTGACCCAGTTCCCTGCTAATGACCTGGCAAAGCAGTGGAAGATGGCCCAAGTCCTTGGACCCCTGCACCCATGTGGGAGACCCGGAAGAGACTCCTGGCTCCTGGCTTTAGATCAACTCAGCTCGGTCCATTGTAGCCAACTGGGGAGTGAACTAGTGGATGTAAGACCTCTCTCTCTGCCTCTGCCTCTCTGTAACTCTCACTTTCAATTAAATAAATTAAAATTAAAAAATTAAGAACCAAAATCTTAAAAAAAAGAAACATATTATTTATTCATACCAAGTTACTGTAACTAATGTTTGCAATTAACAACTGTAACGTATCAAATCTACCTAATTTAACATCTGCATATTTATCTCATGGCTATGCTATAATTTAACAAATATATGACTATACATGTAAGTAATTTCCATTGTTTAGGTTGTTACTGATGTTGTTGCTTGTTATGCTGCAATGAACATCTAGTTTCACATACTTCTGTAAAGATGTATGTATTATAAATCATTAGCAGTGAAAATGCTCAAAGTATATAAATTTTTTTCTTTTTTTTTTTTTTAAGATCCATCCATTCATTTGAAAGATTAGAGATGGAATGCATTGTGGCATAGTGGGTAAAGTTGCACCTGCAACACTGGCAGCCCATAGGGGCACAGGTTCCTGTCCCGGCTTCTCTGGTTCCAATCCAGCTCTCTGTTAATGATCTGGGAAAAGCAGCAGAGGATGCCCCAAGTGCTTGGGTCCTTGCCACCCACAGGGGTGATTCAGATGAACCTCCTGGCTCCCAGCTTAAGCGTGTCCCAGCCCTAGCCATTGCAGCCATTGGAGAAGTGAACCAAACGATGGAAGATCTCTCTCTTCTCTTCTCTTCTCTAACTCAGACTTTCAAATAAGTCTATAAAAAATAATTTAAAAAAGGATAAAGATGAGAGAGGTATCCCCATCTGCCAGTTCACTCCCCAAGTGGTCACAATGGCCAGGGCTAAGCCAGGCCAAAGCCAGGAGCCAAGAGATTTATCCAGATCTTCCATATGGATGGCAGGGTTGTATACAAGCACTTGGGCCATTTCCCACTGCTTTTCCCGGGCCAGTAGCAGACAGCTGGATCAGAAGCAAAGCAGCCAGGACATGAACCTGCACCCATGTGGGATGCCAGCATCACAAACAGGAGCTTTACCCTCTATGCCACAATGCCAGCTGCCTAAATCCCTAATGTAGATAGAAAAATTATCAAATTGTCCTCCAAAACAATTCACACTTCTACCAACAAAGCCGAAGTGCTATCTTCCAATACCCACATATATACAGGGTATCACAAATTTTTCTAATTTCTGCCAATCTCATAGCTTAAAACAGAGTTTTGATTTTCATTCTTTAATTGTGAGTGAAATAGATTATCTTTTCATACATATTGTTAGGAAAAGAGTTGCAAATTGGTGCCTCCTCACATGTTAGAAAAAGAGGCGCAGAATAGAGAGGAGGCAGTATATAAATTTACAGACAGACCAAATTTATTCAGAGAAAATAAATCCATAGAGGTGGGTGACCAACTGCCTGCATGCACACTGATGGAACATGTGACAGAAGGCCTCAACCCCCAGGGGCTGGAGCGTCATTGTTCCATCACATATCTTAGCCCCCATAATTTTTTTAACATCAGTTCATCCTTGAAGCAGAAATGTATAAGCACTACCAATTACTATATAAAAAGAAAAGCTATGCATATAACTTTCAAACTACAGAAAAGATTTTTTTTTAAATTCCCCAGGTTGGGCTGGCGCTGCGGCTCACTAGGCTAATTCTCCGCCTGCAGCGCTGCCACCCCGGGTTCTAGTCCCGGTCGGGGCACCGGATTCTGTCCCAGTTGCTCCTCTTCCAGTCCAGCTCTCTGCTGTGGCCCGGGAAGGCAGTGGAGGATGGCCCAAGTGCTTGGGCCCCTGCACCCGAGAAGCACCTGGCTCCTGGCTCCTGGCTTCGGATCGGCGCAGCACGCAGGCTGCAACATGCCAGGCCTGGTGGCCACTTTGGGGGTGAACCAACGGAAAAGGAAGACCTTTCTCTCTCTCTCTCTCACTAACTCTGCCTGTCCAAAAAAAAAAAAATCCCCAGGTTGGCATTGTGGTGTAGTAAGTTAAAATGCCACCTGTGATGCCAGCATCCCATACGGGCACTGGTTCATAATCCAGCTGCTCCACTGCCAATCCAGCTCCCTGCTAATGTGTCTGGGAAAGCAGCAGCAGATGCCCCAAATGCTTGGGTTCCTGACACCCACAGGGGAGAACCAGATGAAGCTCCTGGCTCTACTGTGGCCATTTGGGGAATGAATTAGCAGATATAAGATTTCTCTCTTTCTCTTTCATTCTTTCAAATGAATACATAAACCTTTTTTAAAAAATCCCTGATAGAAGACAGAGGGAAAAAAATCTTACTTAGAGAAGCACAAAGATAAGAATTACATTTGGCTTCTCAAAGACATGCAAGAAAACTGAAAGTCTTGAAAGAAAAACCCACCATGCTAAAGTATGTTCCTTGAAAAATTACCCTTCAAAAGTGAATACTTTCTCAAATGAACAAAACCTGAGGGAATTTATTGCCAATAAACTGTGTTTCAAGAAATTTTTTTAAAAGTTCTTTAGAGGAGGCCGGCGCCGCGGCTCACTAGGCTAATCCTCCGCCTAGCGGCGCCGGCACACCGGGTTCTAGTCCCGGTTGGGGCGCCGGATTCTGTCCCGGTTGCCCCTCTTCCAGGCCAGCTCTCTGCTGTGGCCAGGGAGTGTAGTGGAGGATGGCCCAGGTGCTTGGGCCCTGCACCCCATGGGAGACCAGGAAAAGCACCTGGCTCCTGGCTCCTGCCATCGGATCAGCGCGGTGCGCCGGCAGCAGCGCGCCAGCCGCGGCGGCCATTGGAGGGTGAACCAACGGCAAAAGGAAGACCTTTCTGTCTCTCTCTCTGTCCATTCTGCCTGTCAAAAAAAAAAAAAAAAAAAAAAAAGTTCTTTAGAGGAGATGCACCAGAAGGGGGCAAGCACTGTGGCACAGGTATAGCAGCCACTTCAATACCAGCATCCCATCCCAGCTGCTCTGCCTCACATCAGCTTCCTGCTAACACACCTGGGAAGGCAGTGGATCATGTTCAAAGTGGGTGGGCCCCTGCCACCCATGCAGGAGAACCAGATGAAGTTTGTGGCTCCTGGCTTTGGCCTGGTCCAGACTTGGCTGTTGCAGCCATTTGAGGAGTAACCTAGCAGATGGAAAATATCTGTCTCTCCCTCTCTCTCACTCTGCATATACACACACATACACACACACGTATATATT